GCTGCCACTGCGGCAACACCGGAGGCATCCCACGATGCACTGGAAGCAAAGAGGGGAAGTCATGCGGTTGACACTCCCCCCCCCCCGCCCCACACACAAACGCATTGCCCAGCTTTAATGGTAAGCTGGGTGGTGTGGGGCATGGGTCGACGGGTTCCCTACGTCCCGCGACAACAGTCACCAGATTTGCCCCATTCTGGCAGCTTGTGTGAAGAGGTCATTAGCCTTGTGACAGCTTTTCAAGGGATCTTGTGAATAAAAATAACTTTTGAGGGAAGTGCTGACAGACATAATAATAAGCAGATCTTGATTCTGTTGCATTATTCATGAGCTGTTTAGCTGTATAAGACAGATGAAAGACAAGCTAATTGAAAATGTATCAACAATTATTTACCCACTTGTTTGAATTATTGTAATATCTAATGCCCTTTTCTTTGGTTTTAACTGTTTCCATTTGCAGTATTTACACGTGTGTTTGTCTTAGTTTATGCAAGGGAAGCAGTTGTCATAAAGCTTATGTCAGATATGTTGTTGTTCATTCGTTCAGTCATCTCCGACTCTTCGTGACCTCATGGACCAGCCCACGCCAGAGCTCCCTGTCGGACATCACCACCCCCAGCTCCTTCAAGGTCAGTCCAGTCACTTCAAGGATGCCATCCATCCATCTTGCCCTTGGTCGGCCCCTCTTCCTTTTACCTTCCACTTTCCCCAGCATAATTGTCTTCTCTAGGCTTTGCTGTCTCCTCATGATGTGGCCAAAGTACTTCAACTTTGTCTCTAGTATCCTTCCCTCCAATGAGCAGTCGGGCTTTATTTCCTGGAGGATGGACTGGTTGGATCTTCTCGCAGTCCAAGGCACTCTCAGAACTTTCCTCCAACACCACAGTTCAAAAGCATCTATCTTCCTTCTCTCAGCCTTTCCTAAGGTCCAGCTCTCACATCCGTAGGTTACTACAGGGAATACCATGGCTTTGACTAGGCGGATCTTTGTTGCCAGTCTGATGTCTCTACTCTTTACTATTTTATCGAGACTGGACATTGCTTTCCTCCCAAGAAGTAAGCGTCACATATAGTCCTAGGTTAATCCTGAGTACACACATATGCCTTTGTTTGATGTGTTACCAACAAAACAGGCAGATATATATTCCTTATATGCATAAATACAACTCTGTCAGAATGGTATAATAATTATACCAAATACGTACCTCGGTGATTGTGGGTTATATGTGAGTAAATAAAATTTGTTTTAGAGCCTCCTTTGGTAATGAAAGGCTATTGATATGTTGAGGGTGAAAGCAATTTAGCTGAATGCAATTTCCCAGCTGTTTTGCTTTGGTGTTTGGAATAGTACTTGTGATGTTTGTGGATGAATGGATGGAGGCAGGAGGGGAGAATGACGTGCACAATGTTAAAATGCAAAGCACTCCCCTCCGATTGGTTCATGGGAAGTGGCTAATCTAATATAAATGGGTAACTTCTTCGTTATGTCTGTCACAAGGAAAGCAGATGATCGAGTGACAAAGGCAGCAAACTCTTACTTGCAGTAAGTACAAATCTTGACTTTTTAATGATTATAGAAATGTCATCGAGATGCAACAGTTTGCCTTAATCCACAGTAGGGATTCTCTAAAATGATCAGTGTTTTGGGGAAAGGCAGACTGTTTGATGTTTATAATCAAATAATGTTTGATTTTAATCCAGCAAAATGTATAATTCGGGATGTGCCATTGCTGCAGAGAAATGTTGCTTCTATACATTATTTTGGAAAGCAAAAATATAAAATCAGGAAATGAATATGCAGTGTTTCATCTCTAAAAGCAGACTGCTATCCGACTTGAACAGTGCTTGTATACTCAAGAAAGTAGTAGTTTAATTCTTCATTACCTGTTGCTTAATAATGAATAGTGTTTCTAAACAACAGGTTTTAAGGGCCCAGCTTATAGGAATTGAAACCGAGTACATACAACCCCCGTTGCGCCAACTCCACTGGCTACCGATCTGCTACCAGGCTCAATTCAAAGTGCTGGCGTTGGCCTTTAAAGCCCTAAACGGTTCCGGCCCAAGCTACCTATCCGACCGCATCTCTGCCTATGAACCCACCAGGACTTTGAGATCTTCCGGGGAGGCCCTGCTCTCGATCCCGCCTGCTTCTCAAGCTCGGCTGGCGGGGACGAGAGATAGGGCCTTCTCGGTGGTGGCTCCTCGGCTGTGGAACGCCCTTCCTACGGACATTAGACTAGCACCATCTCTAATGGTATTCCGCAAAAAAGTGAAGACCTGGCTGTTTGAGCAGGCGTTCGAATAATTAGTGCAATGATTGGTTAATGAACACTGGAATGGAACAATGGATGACGAATCTGGAACATGTTTTTGATGACGAGACGACAGTGAATGGGTCGTGTAATGTGTAATGTGTTAGGTTGTTACCTGTTTCTATACTGTAGCACTGAATTTTTGCTGTTCGTATTTGTTGTGAACCGCTGTGAGTAAGGTAAATAAATAAATAAATAAATAATAAATGTCAAGACAAAACCTAAAATTTCAGCTAACAGTAGTAACAGCAGTGGCAGCAGTTCCGTGTATAAATGAGCCAAACACATTTGAATTGTTTATTTATAATTATTGAATATAGTATGACTCAGAGTAATTATTGATTGCAAAAATTAGTATAATACACAGCTGTATACTATTTGAGATTAAGCATTCTAGAGCATAGTAAAATTTCCCCAAGATATCTGTTCTAAAATGTCAGTTCTCATGCTTTCCTCTAATACATAAGCTGTCAATTGTATTCTTAAATTTTTTTCATGTAAAACGCATTACATACGATAAAATAAGAGTGGGATAAAAAGTTGAAAGGAAAAAAAAGATTAGAAAAAAGAGAGAAAAGTGAAAAAGAAAACAAAAACAAAAAAGGTAAGTTTATTTAGTTATTCTTTATCCAGCTCTCCAATATGTTAAGATCACTCAGTTCTTGTGGGTTTTTCCTCAGAGGTGAGGAAGCTTGCCATAGATGCAGGCAAAACGTCAGGAGAAATGCCTCTAGAACATGGCCATATAGCCCGAAAAAACCCACAAGAACTGAGTGATTCCGGCCATGAAAGCCTTCGACAATACATGTTAAGATCATTTTGGATTCTGATCCTATATTGACCATGTTATCCTTCTGGAATGCTGGGGGCAAGGGACTGGGAATAGGAGACACTATGTTGCAGTGGTTCTCATTGTACCTTTAAGACAGGTTCCAGATGGATCTGCTTGGGGATAGCTGCTCCTCAAAAAGGAGCTATTATGTGGTGTCCCACAAGGTGCCATTCTATCCCCAATGCTCTTTAATATTTACATGAAACCGCTGGGAGAGATAATCTGTAGGCATTGGGTGGGGTATTATTAGTGTGCTAATGACACCCAAATATATTTCTCCATGCCTTCAAAGACAGCTTTAGCTAAGATAGTGCGTCTCCTCTGAATGAATGCCTGGAGGAGGTGATGGGCTGGATAAAGAAAACTTAATTGAAACTGAATCCAGACAAAATAGGGCTGTTTGCCATCAAGGGTCCTAACCTGGGGGTAAAGGTGTATCAACCAGTGCCAGACTTGCCCTGCTGCTGCTCCACTGCTGTCATGATTCGCCACAGAGGCTGGAGAATCCCAGTGCTGGACCTCATTCATGTGATGAGGTCCCATGGTCAAACCTACCTACAAACAGGCCCGTAGCGAGGGGGTGGTGGTTAGGGGTTCAACCCCCCCCCCCCGAAATGTTTCAGATTTTTTAAAAAAACCTGGTTTACTCATGAATTTTAACTGGTTAACCAAATCCCCATGCTAAGTCTATGAGATGCAAAAAATTAAGTCCCTCCAGAACTGCAAGCACTATCTCAAGCAAATATTGACAATTTATTCACACAGCTGTACCAGGAGCTCCAACTTTATTTGCTTTGTATTAAATGTTTGTTTGTAGTCCCAGGTTTCAGGGACTCTGCAGATAGGTTGCTTCCTTTGGTTGCAGTCATAGGGCAAGTCACCTGTCCATCATTTTTTTGGTCCCGCCCCTTGCTCAGGGCAATTGGGAAGGGAAGGGAGCCATTTTTTAGTTAGTCTCAGCAAGGAAAACTATGTATAGGATGTGTGCAAGCTTCCCCTGTACAAAAGCTTCAACCCTTAAGACCTTCCGGGGGAGAAAGGTCTTAAGAGTCTCCAAAGAATTTCCAGGAAAACAGCCCTAAAGACCAAAGAACTCCAGCTGGAGAACATCTACTGCCTTGCTGGTAGGTCCACTCAACGTTCGAGACGCAGTTCAACCTGGTAGCGGAGCCCACATCAGTAAGGGTTAGATTACAGTCAGCCTGGGAGAAGTTAAAAAGGGGATTTTCCTTTAAAGAAGAAGTTATTGAAGACAGTTGCCTGTCCTTCGTGGGCAAGATTAGGAATTCACCAGTTGCCTAAAAGCTTGGAATCATTTGCTTAACTTTACTGAAGACAAGAGAAGTTTCTGTTTGATTGTTCATTAATAAAAGGCTTTGTTGTACTTCTCAAGCCATCTAAAGACTGTTTGTGATGGAAACCTCTGAGAACTTCTCTTTAGGCCCCCTGGCTTCCCGCTGGGCAAAGGTTGCACATCCTGTTCTAAAGACAATTATTTACAGGCCCAGCGCGCGGCAGAACAGTAGTGAAGCAACCAAGTTGGGGGGGGGGGATGTTGAATGCTCTCATTAGGGAGGCCAGACTTGGTGGAGGTGGTTGACAAGGGCGGAGCTACAGGCTATTGAAGGTTGCTCTGCCCCCTGCTGTGCTCTTTGCTTCAGCGTGAGCTAGGAGGCAGGTTTCAACCCCCCCCCCTGCGAAAATTTCAACACCCCCCCGAAAATTTCAACCCCTCCCGAATTTTTTTTCTGGCTACTGCCCTGCCTACAAACATATTGTTTATATGTATCAGACTTCCTTATACAGAAAATAGTCAACTTAAAAAAACCTCCCAATTTGTTTCTATTAGATTGTTCTGAATTCTTGATATGGATGCCGCAGAGTTCCGAAAAAGAGGGAAAGAGATGGTGGACTATATTGCTGACTACCTTGAGAAGATAGAAAAGAGGCAGGTCTTTCCTGATGTGCAGCCTGGTTACCTGAGACCTCTTCTTCCAGATTCAGCTCCTGAAGAACCTGAAACTTATGAAAACATTCTTAAAGATGTTGAAAAGATCATTATGCCTGGGGTAAGACTTGCTAAGTTGTGAATGCAAAGGAGCTTTGATGAGTCTATGCATTCTCTCAACTTGGTTTGTAGAATGAAAATAAGCTTGCTCCATTTTTCAGAAGACTAAATGTCAGATATTTAAAATGTTCATCTCTTAGCTAAGCACACCCAATTTTCGAATCTGCTCCTCATAAATTTTGATTTTCTGACTCTTCACAATGTTTTTGCCCCTAATCTGGGCACATTCTAGCTTGTCCATATTCTTCTTGAATTGTACTGCACAGAACTGAATATGATATTGCAAGTAGGCTTGGGTAACCACGGAAAAATTTGGTTCTAAACTCATTTCGTTTTTAGGGGGTCCTTGCGTTTTGTTTTTTTAAAGAATTCTGAAATTTTATTTAAAAAAATTTCGAAATATACGAAATTTCGTAAAATTACGAATCGATCCGTTAATGGCGGACGCGATTGCGCAATATGCTAAAAAACCTCCAAACGGGACAGGGGGAACTTCTGAAGCTTCCCTCTCCCTCTGTTGTTGACTGTTGGTGTGATAAAACAAACAACAACTATATTATATTATATTATTATAATATGATTATATTATATTGTTGTATATTATATTATATTATTATTATATTATAATATACAATTATAATATAATATAATATAATAATAATATAGTAATATAATATATAGTATAATAATATAATATACAATACTATAATATAATAGTATTATAATAATATAATGTAATATAATATATAATGTATATTATATTATTATATTATTATATATTATTATATATTATATTATAATTGTATATTATAAAATATAATTACAAAATTACAAAAATAATTACGAAAATTGGAAAAATTGTTTCGATTCTTAATTACTCCTCACACTATTCCTGCATGGCTCGATATTGGATTGTAAGCTAATTTAAATACGAATTAATAACGAATTACAAAATTAACGAACTGGATCGCCCAAGCCTAATTGCAAGGGGTGTCTGGACACTACAATCCTGCATTCCTATTGATACAGTCTAGAATTACATTTGCTTTTTTATCTGTCACAGAACATAACACTGTTGACTGCTTCTCCTAATTTGATGTTATCTGATGCCTCAATTCCATCCTAGAAATCATAAACCATAAACCTGGAAGACATAGGGTAGGCCTAAGGAACTCCACCATAGAAGTTGATTTTTAAAAAGGGCTCCATGAGTCAAAAAAGTCTAGTCCATATTTTAGTAGCTTGTTTGCAAGAATATATTGGAAAACCTTGTCAAAAATCTTGCTGAAATCAAGCTATGTGTAATGAGTCCCTTACCTTAACTAGCTGGCAAAAGCCCAAGGAAATGGGCCTGGTGAAGCCACGGCATCCATTTTAGGAAAGGGAAACAGGAAGAAGTAGCAAGAAGTAGCAGCCACTATTGCGTCTGCAAAGAACCGTCCGGCTGAACTGTTCCGAGTTGTCAGAGGCCTGTTAAAACCCACCACTCAGGATGGGTGCCCTGATGACTCGGCAGCTCGCTGTGAAGCCTTTGCTCAGTTCTTTGCAGACAAAGTCGCTTTGATCCGCTCTGGACTGGATACCATATTAACGGCAGTCTCTGAGGATGTAACACGAGCATCTGCTTGTCCGGTTTTGATGGATTCATTTCAATTGGTTCAATCCGAGGATGTGGACAAGGTGCTTGGAGGAATGAGAGCTACCACATGCATCCTAGACCCCTGCCCATCCTGGCTTCTGAAGGAGGCCAGAGGGGGCTTGGCCGAGTGGGTGAAGGTGGTGGTTAATGCCTCCCTTCGGGAAGGCAAATTTCCAGCCAGCTTAAAAGCTGTTATAAAACCGCTGTTGAAGAAACCATCACTGGACCCCACTCAATTCGTCAACTATCGGCCTGTTTCCAATCTCCCCTTTTTGGGCAAAGTCATGGAACGTGTGGTGGCCTCACAACTCCAGGCATTCTTGGTAGACACAGATTATCTGGACCCGGCACAGTCTGGCTTTAGACCGGGGCATGGTACCGAGACAGCCTTGGTCGCCTTAGTGGATGATCTGCATCGGGAGCTCGACAGGGGGAGTGTGTCCCTGTTGGTGCTGCTCGACCTCTCAGCGGCCTTCGATACCGTCGACCACGGTATCCTTCTGGGACGCCTCGCGGGGATGGGTCTTGGAGGTACTGTTCTGCAGTGGCTCTGCTCATTCCTCGAGGGTCGGTCTCAGAAGGTGTTACTGGGAGACTCCTGTTCAACCCCACAACCTTTGTCTTGTGGGGTTCCTCAGGGTTCAATATTGTCCCGCTGATGGTATTTCGAAAAAGGTTGAAGACATGGATGTTTAAACAAGCATTCGATTAATCTGGTGCAACGAAACTGATGAACAAGGATTGGTTAATCACAGACGACGAAATTGGATTGCGACTACAATTAAGAGATGCATTGGATTATTATTGGTGGCCCAATAATATTGTGTATTGTGTATGTGTTTTTATGCTTTTTAATGGAATATTGCTGCTTGTCGTTGTGTTGTAAACCGCGTTGAGTCGCCGATTTAGGCTGAGAAACGGCGGTATATAAGCACAGTAATAAGAAGCCATCTTAGGTTAGGTTTGCCTTAAGGGGGCATGTTCTAGTCTAGGAGGGAAAATCAGAAGGCTAGGATTGGTTAGAAAGATGGGGCGGACTAAGTGATCTGAAGGAAAAAAGTGACTTTTAAACTGAGGCTTGAGTTCCCAGTTTGCCAGTTGGGAGTTGGAGCTTGGAAAGGGTAAAGCGAAGACGTTGGATGTTAGGGAGAGCAGTTTGGGGTTTTGAAGAAGAACTTTGGGTCAGTCTTTTTTTAGTATTCAGGACAGCTGTTGAAAATATAGCTAGAATACTGTGTGGAACAGAACCCTGTTAGTGGTCTGTTCAAATTCAAATTCAAAATATTTATTTCGGTCATTGACCAGCACAGGAAATAGTGTCACATTTCCATACAAACCTGGCATGTTTGGTACATTAAAAATATAAATATAACTACTAAAAACACAATATGGGTGGGGGAGCAGAAGGGGAAACAGGGTAAAAACATACAATGCCCAGATCCATCACCAAATTGTAGATTCAGGGAAGAAGATTACTGGACACACAGTTGACTTTTGGAACTAGTCATTCCCTGGCGGATTTTGTATGCTGCTGCACAGAACTTTGCGACATTGTAGGTTGTAGCTGAATTAATATCTGCAAGTAGCATGGAGGTATAAAATTGTCCTGAACGGCCTGGGTGCTTGTCTATCAGAGGTAAGATAAGCCTGGCACGGATATCCCTGTAGAACGGGCACTGAAGGAGCACATGTTCTATTGTTTCTACATGACCCGAGTCACAGGGGCAGAGTCTCTCTGGGAAAGGGATCTTCTGGTAGCGGCCTTCGAGTACAGCTGATGGGAGAGCGTGGCATCGGGCCAGGGTGAAAGCCCTTCGATGAATAGGAACCTCTAAGTATGTTAAATATGCCATAGGGGAGGCAAGGTATCTGCTGTCTTCACTGATAAGGAAGCTTGGAGCCGAGGCCAGATCTAGTTGGCGCTCTGTGTCTGTGATACGTTGTTTAATAAGTGCTTTGGCTTGATTGTAATCCATAGCTAATAGTAGACCTGGAGAAAATCCCAACGAGGAGATTTTGGATGCTACCGCCTGCTTCCATGTGGATTGGAAGTCATCCTCCATGGTTAGTGGGGCAAGGCCAAGGGGTGCACGGGACAGTCTGAGCCAGAGGTTAAGTATGGCCACCCACACCCTGGCCTCCACTCTCATAAAGCCCGTCTCTAGTCGCAGGGTGGCATTAGAAACGCATTTAGGTACCTGCAAGGCCGATCTCAGAAACTTGGACTGAACCTTAGTGGTCTGTTAATTTCCTAAGGAAGGCTAGTTCAGGGTTTTGGCTAGATTCCTAAGGGGGATTTTTGGGAGTTACTTTCAGAGATTCATTTCCTGAAGTAATTTTCTGTGTTGAAACTTTTAAGACTTGTAACCCAGAAGTTTTAAGATCTTTACTCAACAACCACAAGTTTTTATGCCAGTCTTTTACTGAAACCATCAAGCATTTGTACCTGAAATATTTAAGCCTGTTCAATAAATGTTCTTGTTATTTTTATCAGCTTATACAAGCCTCAGCGTGAATACCTTTGTGGTTAAAGCATTATTCAAGTCAGCTTCCAGCAGCTTCTGAGAACATTATAGTGACACAGAGTGTGTTACTGAACAACCTCTCAATAACACCTCAGCCTGTTTATTGTTAATATGGTGGCAGCGGAAATCTTTTAAACAATCATTTTAAGTCTCTCAGTTCCAGTGGTTCCCAGTTCCTAACTTTTAAATATTTAGCTGGTTCAACAACTATACTCCTTCTATATTTTTGTGAGCTCTATATTTTGGTGAGCTAGTCTGTAGTGGTGGTGTCATCGTTGTAATTTGACAAAGCAGCGGTTGGGATTATTTTTACATACATTTCCCCATCTAAAGATTTGAATTTTAAAAATCTCTCTACTACTCAGCCAAATCGCTGCTATTGTTATACTATGCTACATTCACAACATTGTCTTAATCTACCAAGTTTGTTACTCTACAAAAAGATTAAAAAGGAAAAAAATAGTCTGGCATGACTTTTAAAAAGTAGCCCCATTAATACCATACACATCACACATCTTTTAAAAAGATTAAAAAAGGAAAAAAAATAATCTGGCATGACTTTTAAAAAGTAGCCCCATTAATACCACACACATCACACGTCTTAGTAAGATGCTTATAATCAATTACACATTTCTTGTGACAAACTCATTAAAAGTGTCTGCATTTCTAATCTGCTTTCCCCCCACAATGCATGTACATAAATGTATTTTATGTTAAGTAGAAGTGTGTAAATAGCCACACACAAATCATTTCCAGCAGCACCACTAGCAGAACCAATTGTTCACCTCTACTTTGCATTCTGCCCCATGCAGAGGCTGAATAAGTGCAAGAATGTTAATTCTGGGATGTCCTTCTGTTTTGGCTACTTGTTTCTGCATATAGACATGATAATTTGTTGAATTCAGCACAATTGTGTCTCCCTGTTCCATCTCCCAGGAGCCTGGTTTACATTACCTTTTTAGTTGTTTGGAGTGTCTTCCTTTGCATTTCTCTCAGGGCTGCTGCAGCTTTGCAAAGCCCTAACAGGTTAGCAGTTTCAGAGGCAGGAAAGCCAATCTGCAGACCCTTTGCAGCTATTGGCCTAGAGAGCAGCTCTTTGAGTTTAGAGCCCGCCCTTTCTCCCAGGGAAGGAATCTCCATTTTAGAGTCTCCCCTGTCTCTTCAGTCTAAAGAAAGAATTCAGATGTGCTGGTGGCCAGAACAGGGGAGCTCTGAGAAAATCATTGCAAGTACAATTGAATTATAGATAGAAAGATAAATTGAGATATTATAGATAGATATTGAAAATTGAGACAGATAGATACAGAAGCTTATTGAGTTTATAGAGAAATCATAGATAGATTAATAGAAAAGCTATTGAGAAAGTATTGAGTATTGAGTTTATTGAGAAAGAACTATTGAGTTAGATAGATAGTATTGAGCATTTGCCTCCACAGCTAACTTTGAGCTATAGATAGTAGGGCTGGGCAACCACGGAAAAATTGTTTCTAAACTCGATTCGTTGTTAGGGGGTTTTTGCGTTTCGTTTTTTAAAAGAATTCCAAAATTTTTCTTTAAAAAAGTTCGATATTTACGAAATTTCGGAAATTATGAAACAATTTCGAAACAATAACGAATCGATTCGTTAATGGCGGACGCGATTGCGCAATACGCTAAAAAACCTCCAAATGGGACAGGGGGAACTTCTGAAGCTTCCCTCTCCCTCTGTTGTTGACTGTTGGTGTGATAATTTATTTTTTATCACTGATAAAACAAACAACAACTATAAAACTTGCACCAGACATACGGAAATAATAACGAAATAATAACGAAACAATTTCGAAACAATTACGAAACAATTACGAAATAAATTTTAAAAATTCGTTTCGATTTTTAGTTGCTCCTGAATGGTTCAATATCGGATCGTAAGCCACTTTAAATACGAATTATTAACGAATTACGAAATTAACGAACGAAACCGCCCAGCCCTAATAGATAGGGAAAAAACCTGCTTTTTTCTAACCATAGGAGCTCAAGGTTAGGGCAGAAGGATTCCAGAATTCTTTATACCTTTTGGAGGAAGGTTACCTCAATATCTGAACACAAGAAAGCTCATCTCTGTTTTTGCCAATTGACTGTTTGTAACGTTGATAAGCTGTGCCAAGTCTGCAAGGACTTTGGAAATAAATACCCTGTTTGCTGTTCCATACCCGAAGTGGACTCAATTACTCAGAAAGTTTGAGCTTTTAAAGAAAAATCCCAGTTGTCCGCCCAGACAAAGAGAGCAGCACATTGCAGTTTATCTTTAAAGCGTTTGGGTGTGATGGCACACTCCCCATGATCCTTAGTTATTAGGAACACATGCATTTTCCATTGACATGTTTAATACAGTAACTGTATGTTACACTGTGATCAATTTTTCATTTTACTTCTTTGATTTCCTATTTTCTAATTTTGCATTTAATTGGTTAAGACACTATTCAAGATTCAGACACATTAACTATGATTTTTCTCGTTTGCTTTTCTTAGTGTTAGAGACACCATATATCCAAAGGTTTTATTATGAACAACAGTTCATATTCACTGACAGCCATTCTGAAGATTGATATGCTGTTAATTTTGTGTTGTTGTTCATTCGTTCAGTCGTCTCCGACTCTTCGTGACCTCATGGACCAGCCCGCATCAGAGCTCCCTGTCGGCCATCACCACCCCCAGCTCCTTCAAGGTCAGTCCAGTCACTTCAAGGATGCCATCCATCCATCTTGCCCTTGGTCGGCCCCTCTTCCTTTTGCCTTCCACTTTCCCCAGCATAATTGTCTTCTCTAGGCTTTGCTGTCTCCTCATGATGTGGACAAAGTACTTCAATTTTGTGTAGTTATGATAATATTGTTTGCAAGGGATGTTCTGCTGACTGCACATTGAATTTTAATTTGAACCCATATGTGTCAGGATAAGACTATGCAAACATTCATAGTATGATAACTAATTTTGGACACCAAATATATCAGGAACAACATCATACAGTGTAGTCTTCTCCCTCATTTGCTAATTTTACATGTGCAATATAGATTAAAATATCCAGAAAGCTTAAAGTGCATTGCTATCTTGAGTGGATAGATCCACATGCAGGTGTATTTATTTATTTATTTATTTATTTACAGTATTTATATTCCGCCCTTGTCACCCCGCAGGGGACTCAGGGCGGATTACACATACATGGCAAACATTCAATGCCAAAGACACACAACAGATATAGACAAACCAGTCAGAGGCTATTTAACCTTTTCTGGCCACAGGGGAGCTGTTGCTTTCATCATCCATCTGCGACACTGATGAAGTACTTCCGCATTCCCCGCTTTTGCTGGAGTGCTTTGCTGGAGTCTTTTTTATGGCCTCGTAAATTAGTTAAATTAGCCTCCCCACACATAGTTGGTACCTAATTTTCCTACTTGACAGATGCAACTGTCTTTCGGGTTGCAAAGGTCGACAACAAGCTACACAATTGGCTGGAAGCTCACTCCGACCCGGGTTGGCTTCAAACTCATGACCTTGTAGTCAGAAGTGATCTTAATGCAGCTGACACTCAGACAGCTGCGCCACAGTCCCAGTGCTAATGTATGTATGTGTGTGTGTGTATGTGTGTGTGTGTGTGTGTGTGTGTGAGAGAGAGAGAGAGAGAGAGAGAGAGAAAGAATGACTCTCATCTTGTTTTTGTTCATTCGTTTAGTCGTCTCCGACTCTTCGTGACCTCATGGACCAGCCCACGCCAGAGCTCCCTGTCGGCCGTCACCACCCCCAGCTCCTTCAAGGTCAAGCCAGTCACTTCAAGGATGCCATCCATCCATCTTGCCCTTGGTCGGCCCCTCTTCCTTTTGCCTTCCACTTTCCCCAGCATCATTGTCTTCTCTAGGCTTTGCTGTCTCCTCATGATGTGGACAAAGTACTTCAATTTTGTGTAGTTATGATAATATTGTTTGCAAGGGATGTTCTGCTGACTGCACATTGAATTTTAATTTGAACCCATATGTGTCAGGATAAGACTATGCAAACATTCATAGTATGATAACTTGTAGGCACCATGTTTTCTGTTCTGTATAACCAAGTCCCGTTCCTCCTAATGAATGCTTGTTTTCCTTTGCCTCAGGTGACTCACTGGCATAGTCCGTACTTCTTTGCCTTCTTTCCGACTGCCAACTCTTTCCCAGCAATTCTGGCTGACATGCTGTCTACAGGCATTGGATGTAATGGATTTTCTTGGGTAAGAAAGTTCTTTGTAGATGTGTTCTGTAGATCATTACAACACAAATATTTATGGGGAAAGTTATGCAAATGAACAGTCACTTAAGTCATTTGTTCCTGGCTTCTCGGATTCCCTTAAACTTTAAACTTAAAGCCCTGGGCTCCTCCTCCCTCTCTTTAATTGACTGTAAAGTGACTTTTTAACCAGCCAGACTCAAAACCGACTGCAGATAACTTGTAAAGCTGTTACAAAAATAAAAAAAACTCTGCACTCAATTTCTTCTCCCACCAATGTTTATTTATTTATTTATTTACTTTGCTTGTATACCGCAGTTTCTCAGCCCGTAGGCGACTCAACGCGGTTCACAACAAGAGCAAAAAGTCAATCATAACAACATACAATTTAAAAACCATTAACAGCATAGTATACAAAGTAATGACACATCAATAACAACACATTAACGTCTCGTAACTAGAGTCGTGATCCAATTCGTCATCCATAATTCCGTTCCTATATTCATCGTATTCATTGCACTGTTTATCCGAATGCCTGTTCAAACAGCCAGGTTTTTAGTTTTCTTCGAAACACCATTAACGAAGGAGCTGATCTAATGTCCATGGGAAGGGCGTTCCACAGCCGAGGGGCCACCACAGAGAAGGCCCTGTCCCTCGTCCCCGCCAGCCGTGCTTGTGATGCAGGCGGGATCGAGAGCAGGGCCTCCCCAGAAGATCTTAGAGTCCTGGTGGGTTCATAGGCAGAGATACGTTCGGATAGGTAGCTTGGGCCAGAACCGTTTAGGGCTTTATAGGCCAACGCCAGCACTTTGAATTGAGCCCGGTAGCAAATCGGCAGCCAGTGGAACTGGTGCAGCAGAGGAGTTGTATGCTCCCTGCGCTCCGCTCCTGTTAGTATCATGGCTGCCGAGCGTTGGACTAGTTGGAGCTAGTCCAATGAACTGTTGCCGAACATGACCCCCCCCCCCCCACCCCCAATAAAAATAGTTTATAATCAGGGAATTCATAATTTTGCCAAGGACACCAGGCTGGAATGATATAATAAAAGTTGGGTTTTGGGCAATCTGTAGAAGGACTAACAACCACAACAGGTTAGATGGTGTGCACATTTAATCAAGATTTATGCTCTATATTTCATATATTTATAGCAGAGGGTAACTGCTATAATTTACTGAAAACCTTGTCTCAAAAGGTATTTGACCTTTTAGTTTGGGACTAGCCTGAGCTTTGCCTGAAACAAGAACTGTCAGTTGCTTCCCATCAGTCAATGATTCTCAAACAAAGGGATACCAAGGTCTTTTGTCTGAGGCTAGCAAAAGGGGAAATGCCAAGTAAATAATATTTTATAACCTTGCCCTTATTTCTGAAATCCCATCTTTCTTGTCCATTCTTGCTTTTCTGTATAATTTTTGACTCACCTTTGCTGATACTGGACAAAAACATATCCTACCAAAACACACACACACATAGTCTTTTCACATCTCAAGCCCTGTTTTGTTTCCTTTTTTCCTTTTCCATTCCATTCCTTTCCACTCTCTCTCCCCATCCCATAACTACCAGCCCATAATCCCCCATGTGGGAACCTAAGATTTTTTCCATGGTTCCATGGTCTTGCATGGCAACGATGTTCATGTACCCTTTAGGCCTGGGTAACAACGGAAAAATTTGTTTCTAAAATCGATTTGTATTTGGGGTTTTTTTTGTTTCGATATTTAAAATAATTACAAAATTTTCCTTTTAAAAAGTTCGATATTTACGAAATTTCGTAAATGGTAAAAAATTAACGAATCGATTTCCGGAACAATAACGAATCGATTCGTTAATGGCGGGCGCGACCGCGAAATACGCTAAAAAACCTCCAAAACCTTCTGAAGCTTCCCTCTCCCTCTGTTGTTGACTGTTGGTGTGATATTATAATTTTTTTTCACTAATTAAACCATAAAACTGGCCCAGACATGCGGAAATAATAACGAAACGACCTCAAAACAATAACGAAACGAATACAATATCAAAATACAAAGCATTTACAAAACGTTTTTGAAAATTCGTTTTTTTAAATAATTGCTCCAGAATGGTTCATTATCGTTTTGTAATTGAAAAAATTAACGAATTATTAACGAATTATGAATTAACGAAATGAAACCGCCCAGCCCTAGTACCCTTTCCTTCTTTCTTTCTTTCTTTCTTTCTTTCTTGTGCGTGTCACCTTGTAATGATGCCCCATGGTGCCTGCTGACCCCAGAAAGCTCCTCATGTGTTATTCCTGTGACCCAGGCCAGCATCAGGCCAATTTCGTTGCTTTTATGGATTGGACTCCTTTTTTTTATGAATGAATCGCCTGTTTTATGAATGGACTTTGGCTGCTCAGTGCTTGTATGAACTTTGCATCAACCTTCATGGACTCTGAATGACCAAGACAGATCTTACCCCAACCCTGCATGTTCCCCTTTCCCATATGACCTCCGCATATGCCCCATATTCCCATTTATGATATGTATGTATGCCATTATAAAATATCAAGCAAGGTGACCTCTTCATGAACTATGCCCAGCATCTCAGGACTCAGGTGTTGCAAGACTTCCTGGGTCAACAATGGACTTGGCAGAAAACTCTTAAGCATGGACAATAACAAAATAGCCCCTTTCCTTAGACTAGACCCCGAACCTATGGGGGTTCATGGACATGGTAATCACCTGACATAAAGGACTACAAGGGGAAGAGGATATTGCTATTTATCCTCACAAAGCCATTCCCCACCCCAGGAAAGAATCCAAGATCTTATCAAAAGAGCCAATATCACCAAACTCTTTGACAATGGATTGGCTCTTTAGGGCCAGACGAAAGTGTTGTTTCCAGGCTCTATAGAAATAATCAAGATCAGGTTGGAGGGCTTAGAGCTATTGTCTTTGATTGCATATCATTCAGGTTCGGGAAGGACCATTCATAAATCCACCACCATGACTTTTTTCATTGTTTCCACTGTTGCCTGCCTCCTCTCTCATCATTGGCTGAGCGGCCGAAGTGGGGCTCTGGCTCTAATTGGACGAGCTGCATCGCCCCCCGGCTGCTCCTCCCGGCTCGCTGACATCACAACCAATCACAGAGAAGCTGGCTCGGGGGGGGGGGGGGGGGGGGGGGGCGTGCGTGGGAAATTTGAATTTGACAACTGTATATATTCTGTATTTATGGAAAAAGTCTAACTCCAAGGAAGCCCCTCGAGTGCTAGACGAGTGCCTGACCGATGTGGCTGTCTGGATGAGGATGAACAAGCTGAAGATAAACCCTGATAAGACAGAGGTCCTCCTGGTTGATCGTAAACCGGATCGGGGTATAGGGTGGCAACCTGTGCTGGACGGGGTTGCACTCCCCCTGAAGCCACAGGTCTGCAATTTGGGGGTCCTCCTGGATTCTTCACTTACGTTTGAGGCTCAAGTGTCGGTGGTGGCCAGGAGGGCCTTTGCACAATTGAGACTTGTTCACCAACTGTGACAGTACCTCGGGAAGGCGGATCTGGCCAAGGTGGTCCACGCCTTAGTCACCTCTAGACTGGATTACTGCAGTGCACTCTACATGGGGTTGCCCTTGAAAACGGCCCGAAAATTTCAGATGATCCAACGGGCGGCAGCCAGGCTGTTAACTGGAGCTCCTTACAGGCAGCGGTCAACCCTCCTGTTCAAGGAGCTCCACTGGTTGCCTTTCATTTACCGGACCTAATTCAATGTGCAGGTTCTTACCTATAAAGCCCTGAACGGTTTGGAACCCACCTACCGGCGTGACCGCATCTCTGTATACGAACCCACACGATCTCTTCTATCATCTGGAGTGACCCTGCTCTCGATCCCACCAGCATCGCAGGTGGGGACAAGGGAGAGGGCCTTTTCGGTGGTGGCCCCTCGACTCTGGAACTCACTCCCTAAGGACATCAGACAGGCCCCAACTTTGGCAGTCTTTAGAAGGAGCTTGAAGACGTGGCTGTTCCAGTGTCCCTTCCCGGAATAATAATGATCCCGTAGCACTTTGTCCTCCAAAGCACTTTACATTTTTAGGTCTGCTCGTATGCCCCTCCACAAACACCATTATCACCTTTCATCCTTGTTCCAGCATTATTTTCAATTTTAACTTTACATTTGGCCTTCCCACAGTTTTAATTGTGTGTTGTCTTATTGATAACGTATTGTTGTATTTTATTGTCTACTAGCTTGGGGACCCGGCGTTGCCCGGGTTATTAGAGAAAGTGGTAATGGCGGTTCTGTATGCCAAGTTTGGTCTTTATTGGTCTTTGGATAACGGCTGCATTATTTTCAGGAAGTGAGTGAAGGTACTTGAAGTCCCATCATCCATTGGGCCATCCTCCTACAAACAGCAGCAGGATATAGAGTGGGTCATGGGGGCTCTGTGTGCCAAGTTTGGTCTTTATCAGTCATTAGATGAGGGTGGCAGTGGTGTCAGTAAGTGAGTGAAGGTACTGCAAGTCCCATCATCCAAAGTCCATCTTCTTTCAAACTGCAGCAGGGTGTAGAGTGGATCATGGGGGCTCTGTGTGCCAAGTTTGGTCTTGATTGGTCATTAGAAGAGGGTTGCAGCAATCTTCGGAAGGGAGTGGAGGTACTTGAAGTCCCATCATCCATGGTCTGTCCTCCTCCAAACTGCACCAGGATGTTGAGTGAGTCATTGAAGCTCCATGTGCCAAGTTTATTCTTGATTAGTCATTGTCGAGGGTCTCAGTGGTCTCAGGAAGTGAGCGAAGTGACTGCAAGTCCCATCATCCATTGTTCAAATTCTTCCAAACCGCACCAGGATGTAGAGTGGGTCATGCTGGGTCTCTGTGTAAATTGTGGTCCTGATCCATCATTGTTGGCAGTTGTAATGGTCTTAGGAAGGGAGTGCAGGTATTGCAAGTCCCATCGTCCATGGTGCATCCTCCTTCAAACTGCACCTGGATGTAGAGTGCGTCATGGAGACTCCAGTGTGCCAAGTTTGGTATTTATTGGTAATTGGATGAGGGTTGCAGTGGTCTGAAGAATTGAGCAATGGTACTGCAATTCTCATAATCCACGGTCCATCCCTGGCCAAACCACACCAGGACGTAAAGTGGGTCATGAGAGGTCTCTGTGCGAAGTTTGGTCCTGATCAGTCATTGGATGAGGTTAACAGCGGTCTCAGAATGTGAGTGGTGGTACTGCAAGTCCCATCATCCATGGTTCATCCTCCTCCAAACTGCAGTAGGATGTAGAGTGATGGGGGCTCTGTGTGCCTATTTCGGTCTGTATTGGTAGTGTTCCGACCCAGCCCCCGGCCTTTTCCTTTCCTCTCTTTGTCATCTCGGAATGTTGGATTTGAGGCTGGCCAATTAGAGACCATATGCAAATTTCCTTCTGTCATGCCCCCTTTCTGCCATGAACCCTCTTCTCCACCAGGGGCTCCTATTGAAGCTGGCCAATCAGAGACCATATGCAAATAGCACCACAGCGGCAGCCAATCAGAACGCTGCCACATACACCTCCCGCCGCACTTCCTCTGTCCGATAAAAACAAACACTCTTCTTTATTACAGATACAGATATAGATAGATATAGATATAGATAGGGAAACTTTGGTGCTTATTGTCTCACCAGGCTTATTGAGCCCTCCTCTGCAGAGGTCATCGCCAGCCTCAGCTTAGGCAGGGCCCCCTAAAATCGTGCCCTGCTTCGCTAGTGTAGAAAGGGACGAAGTATTGCCCCTTTGAGTAGGATCAGCGAAAGAGGCAAAGCCAACTTTCGCTGCACTTGGAATGAACCTGTGTAACCCTAGTTGCTTCTTTCAGTAAACAAATAGAATTAATATAGCAACTTATTAAGAAAGGCTTTACTTGACGTTATCCTCCTTGAATTACAACACCTCCAGAATAATTCATCAGGCTTTCACCTAATCTCCTCTCAGATGGAATCCAGATTTCTCTCTTGAATTATTTTAAATAGATTTCCCCTCTTAAATTTCCCAAAATTAGGATTAATAGTGTGGAGAAGCATTTCTTATTTAGACATAGAATCATAGAATCTTGTGGGTCATCCAGTTCAACCCTCTGCCAAAAAGCAGGAAAATTGCATTGAAATCACTCCCAACAGATGGCCATCCAGCCTCTGTTTAAAAACCTCCAAAGAAGGAGCCCCCACCACACTCTGGGGCAGAGAGTTCCACTGCTTAACAGCTCTCACAGTAGGAAGTTCTTCCTAATGTTCAGGTGGGATCTCCTTTCCTGCAGTTTGTTCCACGCCCTAGTCCCCTCAGCTTGGGAGGGAGGGAAAAATATAGGAAGATTTGGAAGGTAAATGCTAGAGTACAATTGTGATGATTATGATTATAAAATTCAATTAAAATTTCTTTAAAAATCTCCTCTGCTCCAACACTACCATGTGTATAGTGTCTTGCATCCCGAGCTCTGAAGATCACCTGGGAAGGAATCCCACTGGAGCATTGCAGCGCACCCAAATACCTGGGAGTCACTCTGGACCATGCTCTTACGTACAAGAAGCACTGCCTGAACATCAAGTGGGTGCCAGAAACAATATCATACAAAAGCTGACTGGCACAACCTGGGGATCACAACCAGATACAGTGAAGACATCTGCCCTTGCGCTGTGCTACTCTGCTGCTGAGTATGCATGCCCAGTGTGGAACACATCTCACCACACTAAAACAGTGGATGTGGCTCTTAATGAGACATGCCGCATTATCACGTGTCTGCGCCCTACACCACTGGAGAAATTACACTGCTTAGCCGGTATTGCACCACCTGACATCCGCCGGGAAGTGGCAGCCAATAGTGAAAGGACCAAGGCAGAGACATCTCCAGCTCATCCCCTGTTTGGGTATCAGCCAGCACGTCAACGACTTAAATCTAGACATAGTTTTCTAAGATCTACAGAGACACTCGCTGGAACACCCCAGCAAGCGAGAGTCCAAAAGTGGCAGGCTCAAACCCAGCACCTCAACCAATGGCTGATACCAAATGAGAGACTCCCCCTGGGCACACAGAAGACTGGGCGACTTGGAAGGCGCTGAACAGACTGCACTCTGGCACCACGAGATGCAGAGCCAACCTTCAGAAATGGGGCTACAAAGTGGAATCCTCGACATGCGAGTGTGGAGAAGAGCAAACCACTGACCACCTGCTGCAATGCAACCTGAGCCCTGCCACATGCACAATGGAGGACCTTCTTGCAGCAACACCAGAGGCACTCCAAGTGGCCAGATACTGGTCAAAGGACATTTAACCAACCTCCAAACTCACAAGTTTTGTATTTTTCTGTTTGTTTGCTTTGTTCTGTTAGAAATGTAATATAATGGACTGGTTGCTCTGACACGACAAAAAAAAAGTGTCTTGTTTTCCCACTATCATGAAAATTAAAGATGCACATCAGTTAATGCTATAGCTGCATTCTTGCACATTACTTCTGCAACAAATATCAGAGGTACCAGAGGCAGAAAGAGGGATATTCTTGCTCCATTTGTGTGTTTTAAGAGTAAGCACCATATTCTTTTACTTAATTTGTTGGTTTCTTTCTCTACCTAGGCTTCAAGTCCAGCATGTACAGAACTGGAAATGGTTGTGCTGGATTGGCTTGGCAAGATGATCGATTTGCCACCAAAGTTTTTGGCGAAGAATGGACAGGGGGGTGGGGTCATCCAGGTAAACTTTTCACTTAGTTATTTGTTGCTGCATGCGGCAATTGAAGTAACATGTATATTCAAAAGAATTGTCCATAAGAATATGATTTGAAGTTCTTGTGGGTTTTTTCGGGCTATATGGCCATGTTCTAGAGGCATTTTTCCTGACGTTTCGCCTGCATCTATGGCAAGCATCCTCAGAGGTCCTATGATTTGAATTGCTTCTACTTTTGAGTTATTTTTTTCTCCAGCTTGTACTTCAATCAAAACAGCAACCTACTCATGGAAAAAACAAACCTCGCATTTTGCTATTGATTGTAAGACACAGCCCAATTTTGATGCTCCAAATAATGGGGAAAGATATTTTTGATTCTAAGATACACACTTTTTATTTAAGCCTTGATTTTTGAAAAAGTCGTTTTTAATACTCACCCAACTTTACTTCTTTGTCTCATTGTCCAGCTATCCTGGCAAGACCCTAGAAAGCCTCCCCAGTGCCACCAGTGTGGTCAAGGCTGCTGCTGTCCTTTGTTACTGTCCTTGCCTTAGTGTTGCCGGGTTTGTTTTGAAAGGAGAGCATCAGGAACGGTAGAATTGAAGAATCTCTTTTCTTTTGGGAGCAGCAAAAACAAGCTCCTTCCATCTTCTACATGTACTCCTTCAGATATTTCAAGATAGCGATCATGTCATTTCTCAGCCTTGTCTTCTTCAAGTTAACATATCTAATTTCCCAAAACCATTTCTTAGAAAGCTTGGTTTCTCCCAGGAGTGTTTTAAGAAAAACCCTTATAACAGGGATCCTCAAACTAAGGCCCATAGAATCATAGAATCCTAGAGTTGGAAGAGACCTCATGGGCCATCCTGTCCAACCCCCTGCCAAGAAGCAGGAATATTGCATTCAAATCACCCCTGACAGATGGCCATCCAGTCTCTGTTTAAAAGCTTCCAAAGAAGGAGCCTCCACCACACTCTGGGCAGAGAGTTCCACTGCTGAATGGCTCTCACAGTCAGGAAGTTCTTCCTCATGTTCAGATGGAATCTCCTCTCTTGTAGTTTGAAGCCATTGTTCCGCGTCCTAGTCTCCAGGGAAGCAGAAAACAAGCTTGCTCCCTCCTCCCTGTGGCTTCCTCTCACATATTTATACATGGCTATCATATCCCCTCTCAGCCTTCTCTTCTTCAGGCTAAACATGCCCAGCTCCTTAAGCCGCTTGTTCTCTAGACCTTTTATCATTTTAGTCGCTCTCCTCTGGACACATTCCAGCTTGTCAATATCTCTCTTGAATTGTGGTGCCCAGAATTGGACACAATATTCCAGTTGTGGTCTAACCAAAGCAGAATAGAGGGGTAGCATTACTTCCCTAGATCTAGACACTATGCTCCTATTGATGCAGGCCAAAATCCCATTGGCTTTTTTTGCCGCCACATCACATTGTTGGCTCATGTTTAACTTGTTGTCCACGAGGACTCCAAGATCTTTTTCACACGTACTGTTCTCGAGCCAGGCATTGTCCCCCATTCTGTATCTTTGCATTTCGTTTTTCCTGCCAAAGTGGAGTATCTTGCATTTGTCACTGTTGAACTTCATTTTGTTAGTTTTGGCCCATCTCTCTCATCTGTCAAAATCGTTTTGAATCCTGCTCCTGTCCTCTGGAGTATTGGCTATCCCTCCCAATTTGTTGTTGTCTGCAAACTTGATGATCCTGCCTAAAAAAAAAGAGGGAAGGATAAAAGCAAGAAAGAAAAGTAGATAGAAAACAGAGAGTAAAGGAAGAGAAGAAAGGGAGAAAGACAGGTGGGGAGGAAAAAGAGAGGAAAGAAATGCAAAAAGTGTGGCATTGTAGTTTGAACCTCAGACTCTGATTCTCAATCTACCAGGTGATTTTAACCAAGTCACATTCTCTTAGCCTCAGATGAATACAAAGGCAAATTACTTTTGAATAAATCTTGACAAGAAAACTCTGTGGTCAGGTTGCTTTTGGTCACCCTAAGTCTGAAACAACTTGAAGGAATGCAACAACAACAACACACTCGAGTCTACTCCCCCAACAGTCTGAGGGACCATAAATTGGCCCATTGTTTTAAAAGCTTGAAGACCCCGGCTGTTCTGTCCACACGCTATCTTAACTACTTGGAAGGTGAACAGGCTGTGCAGGGAACAGATCAGAGACTATATAGTTGAATCAAAAAAGAATTTATTAACTGACAAGAATTTAAGACTTTCTCTCCTCCTGAGTCTCACTACAAAGTCTTTATGAGGAGAGGTAAAGTCTTTGAGAGATAGACACAGTTCCGCCTAAACTAAGGCTCTTGAATCTATTTCTTCTTATTGTCTCTTTCTTGTATGGTGTTCAACTATCTCTAAGATGGTCTGACTAAACTTGAAAACAGATCTGACTGGATTTCAATACAACTCATATAGCTCTGATTGGACATCCTATTTTATAAATCCTCCAGCCTTCCTCTCTCTTTACCTTGCAGTTAGAAAAGGCTGACTCTTCCAAGAACCAGAAGTGTCTTGCCTGAGGCTCCCCACCCCTAAGGGGATTCTTAAAGGAGCAGGGCAACAGAGGCTTCAAATGCAAATAAACTGTACATGGAATATTAATCCCTCTAACTAAAAAGGGCTTAACAAGGGGTAAACATCGAGGGTCTTCATGGGGCAAGACACCTGCCTTCTGTGGAAAATAAAATGAAAATGCCAGCCACATGTGCAGGTGAAACATCAGGAGAAAATGCTGCTAGAACACAGCCCAGAAACCACACAACACTCCAGTGATTCCGGTTGCGAAAGCCTTTGATAATACATCAAAATGACATGAAATATGAAATCCTTTTCAGTGTAATGTCTAATGAAAATACAACTTCTTTTCCTCTCTCCACTTCCTTAATAAACTTATGCTACACTTGTACTCTGTCATACAATGGGGCTACAAAGTGGAATCCACGACATGCGAGTGTTGAGAAGAGCAAACCACAGACCACCTACTGCAATGCAACCTGAGCCCTGCTACATGCACAATGGAGGACTTTCTTGCGGCAACACCAGAGGCACTCCAAGTGGCCAGCTACTGGTCAAAGGACATTTAATCAACTACCAAGCTTGCAAACTTTGTGTTTTGTCTGTTTTTTTTGTTTGTTAAAAATGTAATACAATTGTCTGGTTGTGCCTGACACGATAAATAAAATACATTGGGAATCCCAGAGCTCAGTGTTATTAAAACTATTAATAATATGAATAATATGAATGACCTCACCTCTGAGGATGCTTGCCATAGATGCAGGCGAAACGTCAGGAGAAATGCCTCTAGAACATGGCCATATAGCCCGAAAAAACCCACAAGAACTGAATATGAATGAAGATTACAAAGGACCTTTGCCAGACTTCTTTTCCACAATTTTGAAATTGAAATAAACCTCTCTGAACCTCTGTTAGGTGGTGAAGCCTTAGGTCAGTAATGTACTTCCTTATGTGGGATGAAATTGTCCCTTTTACTTCTTGCAATTAAATATTATGGATGTATCCTGTGGAGATGGATGCTGAATTACCTTGGAAAGTCTAAATCAATATGAAACAGACTCTTGTTGCCTCAAAGACAATATTTGAAAAAAAAATGCAATGATGAAAGAAAATGTCATGTTGGGGTGACTGATGCCGCATTACTTATCAATATTTCTGCACCCACTTCAGCATTATAACCTTTTTTTCTTAAAGTGCAAGTAAAATGAACAATTTATGTTTTGTGTAAGAACTAACAATTGAAAAAGGCTTTCTTGACTAGTTGGGAACAGTTTTGTTTTGTTTTTTTGCTTGATGGCATTGTCCAAATGAATCTGTGTCTTCTTCCCAACAGGGCACTGCCAGTGAGGCTACCTTAGTTGCAATGCTTGCAGCTCGCACCAAAGCCATCCATCGTGTCCTATCGGAAAATGAAAAGCTGACTCCAGAAGATGTCATGGGCAAACTAGTGGCCTATATGTCTGACCAAGTGAGTACTGACCAAGGAAACGATAGTGTGGACTTAGAAATGATGTCCTACATAATGCATAAACAATGAGGACTCAGGGTCTGTTGTGATATAAAGACCAAGAGCTGATGGTCTGTTTGGTACATAGCACTAGTGGAATCAGGATGCCAGTTAGGTCCTCCATGACCGCAAAAACCTGATGCAGATATTTCCCCAGCACTCTAGAGCAGGGTTTTTGTTTTAATGGGGTGAGGTTGGGAGATTTGGCTACAGGAGGTGAAGGAAGCAACATGATCCAGCTTAGGTACACCTGGCCAATGCATTTCACCTATCAGTTTGCTTTTTTTATTCATCCTAAAGGATGCATACCTTTGAAAAGCAAAATGCACATTACAGCCAACTTGCTTTGCAATAGTAGTGTTTAAATTTCCTTTTTTTCTCAAGAAAATTGAGCTCCAGGGTTCCAGTCTAGTAGTTTTGTTGTAGTAGCAAGGCTGGAAGAAACATTAACAACTTCAGATATGCAGATGACACCACTCTGATGGCCAAAAGCGAGGAGCTGAGGAGCCTTCTAATCAAGGTGAAAGAAGAAAGCGCAAAAGCTGGGTTGCAGCTAAACATTAAAAAAAAAACAAGATTATGGCAACAAGAATGATTGACAACTGAAATAGAGGGAGAAAATGTGGAGGCCATGACAGACTTTGTATTTCTAGGTGCAAAGATTACTGCAGATGCAGACTGTGGCCAGGAAATCAGAAGACGCTTACTTCTTGGGAGGAGAGCAATGTCCAATCTCAATAAAATAGTAAAAAATAGAGACATCACACTGGCAACAAAGATCCGCATAGTCAAAGCAATAGTATTCCCTGTAGTAACCTACGGATGTGAGAGCTGGACCTTAGGGAAGGCTGAGCGAAGGAAGATCGATGCTTTTGAACTGTGGTGTTGGAGGAAAGTTCTAAGAGTGCCTTGGACTGCGAGAAGATCCAACCAGTCCATCCTCCAGGAAATAAAGCCCGACTGCTCATTGGAGGGAAGGATACTAGAGACAAAGTTGAAGTACTTTGGCCACATCATGAGGAGACAGCAAAGCCTAGAGAAGACAATGATGCTGGGGAAAGTGGAAGGAAAAAGGAAGAGGGGCCGACCAAGGGCAAGATGGATGGATGGCATCCTTGAAGTGACTGGACTGACCTTGAAGGAGCTGGGGGTGGTGACGGCCGACAGGGAGCTCTGGCGTGGATTGGTCCATTAGGTCACGAAGAGTCAGAGACGACTGAACGAATGAACAACAACAAGTAGTTTACTCCTAGGCATTGCCACCCTATTTCCATTAATTGTGCAAAGAAGAAGAAGAAGAGGAGGAGGAGGAGGAGAAGGAGGAGGAGGAGGAGGAGGAAGAAGAAGAAGAAGAAGAAGAAGAAGAAGAAGAAGAAGAAGAAGAAGGAAGAATCCAAACAGCATTTTTATCAGCAGCAAGATAGCAATTTGGAGACATGAAATTGGGATGAAACAGGTACAATGTCGCTGTCATGTCATAATGCTAAGGGATAATGGGAGTTGTAGTTTTTCAAGGTCTTTAATCTTCGTTGTCGAATACTGCTGGTGCCTTACCAAAGTACATCTGGCATGATTTCATAGCATTCAGCCATGGCTTAAATTGGTGCTAATTCTATAGTGTAGATGCACTCTGAACCCTTGGAAGAAGAGCAGTTAACCTGCATATTTCCCCCAGTGTTCTTAAGTCAAGTCTCCATGAACAGAAAGGAAGATGGATTGGATGAGGAACCAGGCTTTTGAGCCAGCAGGCCATGAAGAAGAGCTCTGGGAAGAAGATCAGCTTATCTGCAGATTTTTCCCAGAAGCCTTTGCAGAAATTGCTGGGAGCAGAAATGAAGCTCAATAGTGAAAGGTAGAGGATCTCACAAGGCCAGGAAGATATTGCAAGTGAACAATATATAAATATATATATAGAGAGAGAGAGAGAGAGAGCGCGCATATAGCATATAGCATATAGCATATAGAACATTACAAATAAGATATGTACAGCGTGTATAGGAATTAATGTTGGGTTTTTAAACGAAACCATAATTTGGCCCCCCAACAGTCTAATGAACTGTGACTCGGCCTGCTGCTGAAAAAAATTGAGGAGCCCTGCCCAAAAGTATCCACATAATATTGCAGTCTTTAAATGATGAAAATGCACAGTGTGTTTGCTTTCCTTCAAAAAGATTTACTTATTTCATGGGTCCCAAAAAACTGTAAAATACTGGTGAAAAATTTGTAAGAAAAAGTGATATAGAATCTTAGAGTTGGAAGAGATCTCATGGGCCATCCAGTCCAACCTCCTGCCAAGAAGCTCTCACAGTCAGGAAGTTCTTCCTAATGTTCAGATGGAATCTCCTTTCTTGTAGTTTAGGATGTCCCATTTTATTTGCAGGCTCATTTCTCCGTTGAGAAAGATAGTATGATTGCTGGAGTGAAAATTAAACAGATACCTACAGATGAGAAGTTTGCTGTACGTGGATCTGCTCTAAGGAAAGCTATAGACAATGATAAAGCTACTGGACTCATCCCATTCTTTGTAAGTGCTGGTTTCCCTGTCATTTTAATTATTATAACGCCCAGTTAAAAGGATTAAGAAAATACAACAAAATGTTTAAAGTTTTGAACTAACTTCCTGCTCTGTGCCTTTAACAGAAATACGATTTTCAGCCACAACATCTTTTTTCCCATTTTTAATGTGTAAGCAATCAATTTACTTTGTTCATGCCATTTTTATGAAGGTTCTAGATAGAGCTGTGCTTCAGATGCATGTTTCTTTATTCTTCTGTCTACCGCACTACCTTCTCATGCTCATTTGGTGGAAATGAAGGAGAGGACCTGCTCGATGGCTGCTCCTAGATTTTGGAACTCCTTAGGGTCAACTTGAGTAGACACAAATATTGGTCTTGGGGAGGAGCAGTTGTATCTATAAAGGGTGCAGCAATCTGTATTTAATAGTACCATCTGAAAGAGGATCAAGCTTGCAGGCTCTTCTAAGCTGCCAGCTCCATTTACCAGAGGCAACCTGTCCTCGTGCCAAATCTGATTATACTGTTGTAATGTTGCAGCACGCCATATGTTGCAAATATTTACCAGGATTCCATGAGATCCGTGGGGAAGGAAGAAGGCAGAGACAGCTTGGCAGGGTTCCAGTGTTTATTCTTACCCAGGGTAAGGGTGCTCAGCTTCCCAAGATGGCTGATGGAGCACAAAGCACTGTCAATTTCAGCCCAGTATTTATAGATGGAATTACTAGTTCTGCACATGCGTATAACAACTCGTATACAATACAAATCATTAACAGAAATCTTATATAAGAACAATTTTGGCAGGGGCCATCACGACCCCAAATATTTGTTTTTTCTTTATGTAACAATCAACCTTTACACTATCTCCAGATGACATGTTTACGTGTTTCCAGTTTCCTTAAATCCCTTAAATGAATCATAACTTTATATATATGTTTTTAACATAAAAGTTGTTCAGAGCAGTTTCCTTATTAATTCTTCTGTAATTACTTTTATAATAACTTGGTTTCCTGGAGTTGGTCATTTAATAGAACGTTTCTGAAATTACCTGCTATTTACATCAAATAGACAGGAGATGGCGCTCTCTTACTATATGACCTTAGATGTTTCAGTCTCGGATCAATATTATCGATTTACCTTAAGCGCCAGGTCTCTGGCGTTCAATGTTCAGCCTAAAAGTCAACATTCGGCCTAAGTCAATATTGTCAAAGAGTCATTATGACCTCCTATTGACTTTTACTCTGCAAATTCTCCGTCCCAGGTAAGAACCTTTTCCATTTCTTAAATTCATTTTTAAATTATAATTATTTTTTCCCTAACAACTGCCACAGTAATATAGGCTATAAATAATAATAATAATAATAATAATAATAATAATAATAATAATAATCTTTATTTATACCCTGCCACTATCTCCCTGATGGGGACTCGGTGGGGGCTTACATGAGGCCAAGCCCAAACAACAAATTACAGCAGAATAAAACCAAAAACGCAAACAATAAACCGCAACATCTTAATTACATAAAACATGAACATTCATAACAATATAAAATTACAATAAGCACAATCACAGTGACAATGGGCAGACTGCATGTAATTATTAAAAGAAAACTAATTAAAAACTAATTAAAAACTCGGGTGAGATAAAGGAGAAGCAGGTTATTTGCGGAGGAGGGCTCATTATAGCAGGGGTTGTGGAATCAAGCTTTCCCACGAAGGGCGGGGGGGACAGGGACGGACGTGTACTCCAATGACAGAACGTTGAGGCTAAGCAATAGTGTGAGGTTGTATACCTACTCACCAAAGGCGCAGCGGTAGAGCCAGGTTTTAAGGTTCTTTTTAAAGGTTTCTAGGGTAGGGGCTTTCCTAATCTCTCCAGGTAGTGAGTTCCAGAGTCGGGGGGCCACAGAGGAAAAAGCTCTCTCCCTTGTACTTACAAGGCGAGCTTGTGAAACTGGCAGGGGCGAAAGAAGAGCCTCCCCAGAAGATTGGAGGGCCCAAGTTGGTTCATGGAGGGAGATTAGACCGAGACAGCATAAGAATATACCCTGTGCCGGCAGGACTGAAGACCGACAGGTCGCAGGTTTGAATCCGGGGAGAGCGTGGATGAGCTCCCTCTATCAGCTCCAGCTCCTCATGCAGGGACATGAGAGAAGCCTCCCACAAGGATGGTAAAACATCAAACATCGGGCATCCCCTGGGCAACGTCCTTGCAGATGGCCAATTCTCTCACAACAGAAGCGACTTGCAGTTTCTCAAGTAGCTCCTGACACGACAAAACAAAACAAAAAACCCTGAAAAGTCATGCAAGACAATGAAATACAGATGACACAGAACTTAATTGGATTATTGGGGTTTATGAATAACTGCATTTAATAGTAATAGGATATTGACACCCAGGTATTGTATCTTTAATTTGGATATTAGCATCTCAACTGAAACTGAAATTGGAGCCTATGTCCCTGGTACATATCTGATAATATGCTTAGTCATTCTGTGTTCATGTAGAAGGGTAAGATGATGGATGCACCTTTCATAAAGATGAGTCTTACTTTCAAGGTTTCTCATAGACAATGTATGTATTTATCATAGTGCTTTACACATTGTACAGTCCATATCTATCAGGTTATGGTAGTCCAGAACTACGGATATCTACAACTTTTACTGAACCTTTTTTAAATGATAGAGATAATATTCTATAATATATCCTTCACAGAACCCTAGAGTTGGAAGTGACCCCCAGAGGGCATTTAGTCCATCCAGCCATAGATATGATGGTGTCATGGAGTTGGAAGGCAACCAGTGACACTGCAAGGCATACCCTTCAGGAGATCACATAAAATTATGAGGCTGTGGGTAGGAAGTTGAAGGGTCTTGATACACAAGTGATGCCATCTTTTCTCCCAATTCAAGGACACACAGCCCTTGCATTATCAAGGTGGCAAACCATCCCTTTGTTCAGATGTTACTTGACAGCCTCAGATAGCAGGACCAATGGTAAGGGATGACATGAGGCATTCAAATATATCTGAAGGGTAACAGATTTCCATCCTTACAGTAGATATTGAAGATTGCCATAATTTAGTATTCTAAGAGTTTTTGCAAAGCTGATCCATATTAGCTGAAATCATGCTCAGTGTGGAGGCAATGAAAACTGACTTAAACTCAATGTATTTGCCCCAAATTCCACTTGATCTCTCTGACTTGGTGCCAGGCAGGAATATGTTGGGAATTATCTTTGTGAGTTGATGATTCTCAATTAAATCATTATTTTTGTTTTGGTTTCTGCAGTTTTGTGCTACACTTGGAACCACATCGTGCTGCTCCTTTGACAAGCTGATAGAACTGGGTCCAATATGTACGTTTTATCAGAAAGTTTTAAAATCTGCTGCTGTGTGTGCTATAATCATCTGTTCAGTTTTCCAGACCATCACATCATTGAATTGTCATATCAGTAAATACTTTGGGACTTGTACATGAAACTTCTTGGGTCCCTTCTTTGTTGTTGTTCATTAGTTCAGTCATCTCGGACTCTTCGTGACCTCATGAACCAGCCCACGCCAGAGCTCCCTGTCGGCCGTCACCACCCCCAGCTCCTTCAAGGTCAGTCCAGTCACTTCACACTACAATAAATACTTTATTAATAACCCACCCTATCTCCCTGAGGTTGACACTGAAGTGGCAGATTTATAGCCCTTGAGACCATCCGTCACTGCCGTGGGTTCTCAGCTCGTCCCAGCGTACTCAAAAACAGTCTCCAACAGCTCAAACAGATTGATTTCTTTATTCACAATTGTGAAGACGCACAGCATCAGCTCTATCTCAGCTCAAAGTGTATACCGTGCGCAGACAAAACATGTTCCAGAAAGCTTTTATATCTACTTGTAAACATCTCTGTCTAGGTCAAGTTTCCCATATTTGGTCATGTTATAAAATCTTCCACTTTTATTGGCTTAAGCTCACCTCTGCATTCTTCCAAAATAGGCATTACAAAAGATCATAGAATATTGCATTCAAATCACCCCTGACAGATGGCCATCCAGCCTCTGTTTAAAAGCTTCCAAAGAAGGAGCCTCCACCACACTCCGGGGCAGAGAGTTCCACTGCTGATTGGCTCTCACAGTCAGGAAGTTCTTCCTCATGTTCAGATGGAATCTCCTTTCTTGTAGTTTGAAGCCATTGTTCTGCGTCCTAGTCTCCAGGGAAGCAGAAAACAAGCTTGCTCCCTCCTCCCTGTGGCTTCCTCTCACATATTTATACATGCTATCATATCTCCTCTCAGCCTTCTCTTCTTCAGGCTAAACATGCCCAGCTCCTCAAGCCGCTCCTCATAGGGCTTGTTCTCCAGACCCTTGATCATTTGAGTCGCCGTATCATTTCAGTCACCTTCCTCTGGACACATTCCAGCTTGTCAATATCTCTCTAATTGTGGTGCCCAGAATTGGACACAATATTCCAGGTGTGGTCTAACCAAAGCAGAATAGAGGGGTAGCATTACTTCCCTAGATCTAGACACTATGCTCCTATTGATGCAGGCCAAAATCCCATTGCCTTTTTTTGCCGCCACATCACATTGTTGGCTCATGTTTAACTTGTTGTCCACGAGGACTCCAAGTTCTTTTTCACATGTACTGCTCTCGAGCCAGGCATTATCCCCCATTCTGTATCTTTGCATTTCATTTTTCCTGCCAAAGTGGAGTATCTTGCATTTGTCACTGTTGAACTTCATTTTGTTAGTTTTGGCCCATCTCTCTAATCTGTCAAGATCGTTTTGAATCCTGCTCCTGTCCTCTGGACTATTGGCTATCCCTCCCAATTTGGTGTCGTCTGCAAACTTGATGATCCTGCCTTCTAACCCTTCATCTAAGTCATTAATAAAGATGTTGAACAGGATAAACAAAAAGACACAATAGTGCTGCTCCTTCCCAAATGGGAGGGGTTATTCCTGCTTTTTCTAACTTTGGTTCACTCAACACTGCCATATAATCCAGGCTATCACAGCAGATAACCACATTATCGCTTTGAGCGGATTACTGAGTCCTATATGCTTGGGCATGGATAATAGTATTATAGCCTGACATTTTTATGCAGTTTATATGTGGGACCTTTGCTTAACGATCACTTGGTGACCACCATTGCTTCTTCTATGGTATACCAGAGACTACTATTTATGGTGGAGAATGAACAAGTTCAGAGCAATTATACTATCTGATATATATATTTGCTCTGTTTCTTGTGTGAGATACGTTAAGTAACAATCAAAAATATAAGGGCCTATAAATGACCCGCAAATTTGTGACCATAACCAAATCTCCTCAGCCCAATCCATAGGAATGTGTGACCAAGACCACACTCAAAAAAAAAAAATTACCAATGAAAAAAAAGCACCCAACAAAACCCCTTTAAAATTAATAAAAGGAAAAAGACAACACCCCCCCTGCCCCCCCCCCCCCCGGTGAGGACACAGCCAGTGAGGCCATCTTACTTCCCCTTCCCCTTTGCCTTTGTAGTCCTTGGAAGGTGAGGCAGGAGAAGGGACCTAATTGGCGAGGGAGAGCACCAGCAAGGTGGCTCATATGCCTCAGCGTCAAAAGGAGGAGGAGGAGGGCTCTGAAGCAACAGTGGCAATGGCTGCTGCTCCCTGCATGTCTCTCGGCCCCTAACTAACACTAAGGCATGTGATGAAAGGGCAGAAGCTGTGGAGGAGGAGGAGAGAGAGTGTGTAAAGGAAAAAAGAGGGAGGGAGGCCACACTCTGTGCACATACTCTGACTCTCTGTCTCCCACACACATATTCCCACAGCACAAGGGAAGGATGAAGGTGCCATGATTGGGGGGGGGGGGCAATAGGGGTTGCAATCCAGCAAATTCCCCTTATCTTTAAATTCTGTAAATACACTAAATTGGATTGCCTTATAGAATCAGCACTCCAATGTTTTGGAGTTCAGAATTCTAGGTGAATTACATTATGATGCAGTGTAACTTAAAGCTCTGGTGTGCTCCTGGACTCAGATCTGAGCTTGGATGTCCAAGTTTCAGCTTTTGCATAGTTAAAACGAGTGTACCAGCTGTGTCTGTTCCTTGAAAAGTCAAATCTGAGCATGTTGACATGTGCCTTACACTGATGCAGTGTAACTTAAAGCTCTGGTGTGCTCCTGGACTCAGATCTGAGCTTGGTGTACTGTCCACTCCGCGACACAGCAGACTCCCTGCCAGAGTCCATTTTGGACTCCTGTAATGCAGTCTATGTGGGGCTGCCTTTGGAAACTGTTTTGAAATCTTATCTTGTTCAAAATGCTCTGTAAACCCATCCAGGACTGGTTGACATACCTCCATTCTGAGGTTATGACCCTTAACAGCAAGCACTGCTGTTATGTCTGGATTCAGTTGCAATTTGTTTTTCCTCATCCAGCCCATTACCTCCTTCAGCTATTCATTCAGAAGTGGCACACTATCCTCAGCCAGGGCTGTTTTGAAGGCATCAATATATTTGGGTGTCATCAGAGTATTGACAGCAACCTCCCTATGTCTCTAGTTTTATTGTTTGAATGGTGCTATCTTTTACTGAACATATGTTTTAAGTGTTTTAACTATTTTTAGCATGTTCAATTCCTTTTTAACTTTTTGTAAAATAATTTGCAAGGGTATCTTTTTAGAATACCTTGAACCACATTCTGGGAGAAAGGCAGGATATAAATTCAATAAATACATTCATAAATAAAGGTGGCCAACAACTGAATTTGCTATTTCAGTATAATTTGTCATTTTTTTCTCCTTCTAGGTAATGAGGAGACTATTTGGCTGCATATTGACGCAGCGTATGCTGGGAGCGCATTTATTTGCCCTGAATTCCGTTACCTTCTCAATGGAGTAGAGGTAAGCAACAGTCCTGAAAATAAAGAAATGAAGATTCTTTTGTTGTTGACTTCCTAATTCCTATGATCCATTGTGTTCCAACAATAAGTCCACAGATAGCTCCTCTGTTAAGATCCCTCTACCCTTAGATTTCCAAATTGAGACTCCATCTGTATTTGTTGCCCCTGCCCAATCTGCTCCCCTTTCTTGCCCAAGGATGCTTCCCCTGTTCAGCCATCCCAACACACTTGATGATTTCCTTTTCTCAATGTCACTGGAAATATCTCCAACCGCCAGCCAAAATAGATTGCTATGTAGCTCCCCTCAACTGGAGAACTGACTAGCCTCTCAGGTTGCCAGTTCTAGTAAGCCTATTTCATAGGGGGGGTTCAGATGGGGGGCACCATTGAGGTTGTGTGGGGGAGGAGGAATGTCGATCATTATCATCCCAGGGAGAAGCGCAACAGAGTTCTTGCCACCCTGGAGAAGGTTGGGTGTGGTAGTCTCCATGATAGATCTCCTGGTCTTAAGATCCTGCTGGTAAATACCAGATCCGTCAATGGTAAAACATCGGTCATCCAGAATTTGATTCTGAATGAGGGGGTGGATCTGGCTTGCATCATCGAGACCTGGTTGGATGAGCTGGGTGGAGTAAATCTCACCCAGTTGTGCCCATTGGGCTTTGGGGTACACCATCAGGCTAGGGCTGGGGGGCGGGGAAGAGGGATTGTGATGGTCTTTTGGCAGTCCATCTCCTGATGAGGTGGACTGTGTCACAGTGCTCTGGGTTTGAGTGTGTCCACCCAAAGGTGGGAACCCATGATAGCTTGGGAATTCAGCTGGTGTACTGTCCACCCCGCGACACCGCAGACTCCCTGCCAGAGCTGGCAGACATGGTCTCTAATTTGGCTCTGGTCTCTCAGCATCTGGTTGTGCTGGGAGACTTTAACATTCATGCAGAGACCACTTTAACAGGAGTGGCTCAAGATTTCATGGTTTCCATGATGACTATCTTGTGTACATCAGACCGGACATACACTTGATCTAGTTTTTACTGCAGACAGCGGCGTGGTCAGGGCGGAAGAGCAAAACAAAAGTATTCAGGTTGATTGACATAGATTTTGTTAAAAATCTTTGGTGAATGAAACTCCACATTTCCTTCTGATTTCTCTGAATTCTCTAGTAATTGTCATATTTTATGCTAGATTGTTGTTATGATTGTTAATTTTCTTTGTACATAGGTTCCTGGTTGTTTATTTTTCCTTTCAGTTCGCAGATTCATTTAACTTCAATGCACACAAATGGCTCTTAGTGAACTCCGATTGTTCTGTTATGTGGTAAGTAAATGTAAGAATGGAGATGCGTTAATGATGTTATTATACCATGTCTTTCTCAGTCTGGGGGCCCTCCTGGGCTCAGTAGTGACGCTTGATGCTCAGGTGTTGGCGGTGGCTGGGAGGGCCTTTGCACAGTTAAAGCTTGTGTACTAGATGCAACCATACTTCGAGAAGTCTGACTTGATCATGGTGGTCCACGCCTTACTTATCTCAAGGTTGGATTGCTGTAATGCACTCTATGTGGGCCTGCCTTTGAAAACGGCCCGGAAACTGCAGTTGGTGCAAAGATCGGTGGCCAGATTACTAACTGGAGCAAGTTAAAGGGAGTGGTAAACCCCCCTGTTTAAACAGCTCCACTGGCTGCCGTTAAGTTTCCGGTCCCATTTAAAGGTGGAGGTTATTATCTATAAAGCTCTAAACAGTTCAGGACCTGCCTATCTTTGTGACCATATCTTCCCCTATGAGCCCACATTGTCTCTAAGATCTTCTGGGGAGGCTCTTCTCTCGCTCTCACCCCCGTCCCAGGCGTGATTGGTGGGGACGAGAGAAAGGGCATTCTCGGTGGTGGTCCCTCGACTCTGGAACTCCCTCCCCAGTGAGATCCGGCTGGTACTCTCCCAATCTACATTTCAAAAGAAACTAAAGACATGGATGTTCTGCTGTGCATTCGATTGACAGTTCCCTTGGCAGGTGGTTTCCTAACCTTGTCCTTGTCCTAAATACAAGTACCTGTATTGGATTACTGCACTTTTTAAGTTAAAATGACCATGTTACAACTGCTCTATCCTTACGTTGTTATATGTACCCCCCCCCCATGTCTTACTATTGTTATAATGTTGTTTGATGTTGTTTTTAATATTTTATCTGCTATGTTTTTAACTGTATGTGTTTGGGCTTGTTCCAATGTAAGCCATCCTGAGTCCCTTCAGGGAGATGGAGGTGAGGTATAAAATTAAAGTTCTTCTTCTTCTCAGGACAGTTTTCAAATTATTTTAAGAAAATGCTTAGAAACAGAATGAGAATTGAGAGCTTGGTTGATACTGGACCCTTCTAGACAAATTATGCCAGACCTGTCACCTGTGATTTGCTGGACTAAATGACACCTCAGGTAAACCCAAATTAACCTAGAGTAAATCAGGATTTCCCAATTTACTCCAATCAAACACCTAGAAAGATCCAGATCTTAATGTAAGACCTTTCCAGTTTTGTATCTTGTGGGGATTGACTCTCAGGACTACACAATCCTGGGGGTGGGTGTGTGTGTGTCAATATTCAGAGAAATTCTGGTTCTTTGGACTTCAAGAGCTTGAAAGAGTGGGAAGGCATCCCCCCCTCCTCCCCCCGTCCCCATTTATCCTCAAAACTTTCCTGAGAGGCCTGGCTATATGCTCAAACTCTCCAAAATGGTGTGCTGGGAGGTTGGGGGGGGTATCCCTCCACTGCTCCCAACTTCCTGACACATCATTTTGATGCACCAGGAACTTATGCCGGGAGGGGGGCTGAGCATGTAGCCGGGCCTTTCAGGTATGTTTTGGGGGTATATGGGGGCTGGCTGTCCTCCCGGGTTCACCTCTTTAGCCATCACCCCCCCCCCCCCCCCCCCCAGGGAAAGCCAGGGTTTGAGATCTGTGCAGCCTGAATCCCGGGAGGAACTGGGACTTTTCTGTGTGGAAGGGCCCAAAATGTGCATAGAACTAAACTCTTGTAACAAATTTGGGAGGAAAGCTAGCAAAGTGCTGGTTTGCACTGTAGAGTAGATAAAGACCATTTAAGATGGTTAAAATAATCTAGCAATGAAGAATGGACCTGGTAAATTTATGCAATTTATGTAAAGATGGTCCCTTCTTTCAAATACTTCAAATTAGTCAGTGGTCAGAACTTATTTGCAGTCAAAACCTTCAAACTGACTACCATTTAGTTTGAATGAAGCTTGCTCTATACTTCCATTTGTTTATTCAGCTAAGCATTGTGGATGTTTCCTCAACTCCATGTTACTTTTTAGGAAGGAGTCTACATTGACTGCTAAATTCAGGGGCAGTCTGGAGCAGAAATGCCCTGGAAGTGGCCCAAAACACCCTCCCGGACCTGCTATGGTGGGTTGGAGTTTACATGGTCCTACCAGGCTAAGGCTGCATTGACCCTACTAGACCATTACCTCACCCTCCATGTTGCTATTCCAGACAGCCACACAGCTCCATATGATCTCCTTACCTTGGTGAGCATCTCATGCTGAAATCAAAAGGGTCCCCGCACAACAAGGAAGAAGGAGAGAGATGATCTCTTCACATTTTTCTTGGTCATGCTGGTACCTTGTTAATATCCACACGGCATGCTCATGATGGTCACGAGCTCAAAGGCAGCTTTGTGGCCATCTGGAAGTGGTGATAGTGGTGGCACAGGAACAAACTGTTCTTGTTTCCCTTGGAGCAATGTCCAATCTGGAGAGTGGACCATCAACTCAGTCCTGCTGCCCACATTGTTCTGAAGCAGCACAGTTACTCCAGAGTTTCCTCCAGCATTCCAGCGTTTCCTAATGTGAGGCTGGATTTACTCCATGATACTTAGTGGAAGTGAAGAAACATCATGGGGACAGTCAAGAGCAAGCTCAGGGAGTCCGGGTTATGATGCCTCTAGTTGCCTATAGATGAACTTCCAGTTGCCTGAAAACCAGTTCTAGGCTATTTCCCAGCAGGATTTTTGTTTAGTGTATGCATTAGGGACTTTATTTGGTCTCCTGACACAAGGGGAGCTCTCTGTGGACCATCCCTGTCAATTCTGATCCACTGAGGTAGCCGATTCTAATGTAAGCCACTACTAAATCATTCATATTCATTATTTGTGCAGGGTGAAGAAGAGATCGGACTTAACACGTGCCTTTCAAATAGATCCTGTTTACCTTAAGCATGGCCATGAAGGATCTGGTAAAGTGTTTTTAGGCTATACTATCTTCTTGAAAAGAATGTTCCAGGATCAGCTCTCCTCAGTTAAGACTTTGCCAGCAAGCTTTTGCATATAGAGCAGACTCCTTTTCCTGTTACTTGTACATTAGATGCAAAAAAAAATCAAAGTAATTTCTTAAATATTTCTATAGTTTTGTGTTAATTTAATGCAGGATTGGGCATTTGCCATGGGTTTGCATCCAGTACAACTGCTAACAAAGTCCTGCAGTTTTCCAAAAAGGGGTGGGGCTCATTTTATCTCTACAAACCCAGGCTTATCCAGTGTCACTTCATGGAAAAACCTAAATCCTGACTCAGGATTCAGGCTTGCATCATACCATATTGTGAATTCCACATAGCCTTAATTAAGTTCATCTGTGCAATGTAGAGTTTTAATCATGGTGACGAGGACTAATAGCTTGTTGCATTATGCCTTACAGCTTGGTTCCCAGAGGTTACCCATGGATCATTAGACACATATTGCCCATTATGGGAACATGTAATTAGCTAACCATCACCAATTGCCTTACCCTTTTGAGCCAGTCCTCCAATCTTAATTCAACACTGCCTACAAGATTGAAAAATATGTTTTCCAGCTGCTTATTGGAGTTCTGATGCCATTCCTATTGAAACCTGTTCATTTCATCCAAATGAGATATTTATTGTAATAATTCCATGCAAGTTCATTCATGCTTATTCGTTGAGGATTTTAAAAAAATGTATTTGTAAAAATGCAAGTATCTACACATTGACACATTGCTGACCAACCTAGGCATTACTTAAGGAAATTTGTGTTTCCAAGGCCAAATTGTTCAAGATAATGGAAATAAAGTGTCTCTTTAGTGAAAAGAAAGGATAGCTTAAGTCCCTGAAGCTGGCATGTTATTCCATGCAGATAGCTCCCTGGCTGTTTTCTCAGCTTGGCATATCCTCCATCCCAGCTATTATTTCTGACATTAAGAAAATGCTTAGCATTACAAGAGGAATATGAGAGTTGAGAACTTCAACATTTAGTTTACATCCAGCTCCTCCAAGAGTTTTGTAATAGATATCATCACATTTCAGAAAGTTCTTTGGGACAAAGGAATTCAGCAATACTTTCTTCAGGATTTAATCCTTAAAGAGCACACTGACCTGGCTTGTATAACAGAGACCTGGTTGGATAATGTGGGAGAGTTTAACCTCTCTCACCTTTGTCCACCAGGTTACTCTGTGCAGCACCAATCGACACCTGGAGGGCAGAGAGGCAGAGTTGTGGTAGTCTATAAAGATTCTATCCCCCTGACCAGGTGCCCCATCCCACAGTCAACCTCCTTTGAATGTGTCGGCCTAAGGGTAGATGACTGGGACAGAATAGAGATTCTGTTACTGTACTGACCACCCCGCTGCACTACAGTCTCCCTACCTGAGCTAGCTGGAGTAGTCTCAGACCTGGCATTGAAGTCTCAGCGACTTATAGTGCTGGGGGACTTCAATGTTCATGCCGAGACCTCTCTGTCAGGTGCAGCTCAGGACTTCATGGCTGCCATGACAACTGTGGGCCTGTCCCAATTAGTATCTGATCCCACCCATAGTGCTGGGCACACATTGGATCTGGTTTTCTGCCAGGGGTGGGATGAAGGTGGTAGGGTAGAGGAGCTGTCCACCACTCTATTGCCATGGACTGACCACCACCTGATCAGGTTTAGACTTACTGCATCTCTTAGCCTGCACAGGGGTGGTGGACCCATTAGAATGGTCCGCCCCAGGAAACTTATGAATCCAACTGGATTCTGGATGGCTCTTGGGGATTTTCCTGCCTCCTTGGTAGGTGACTCTGTTGATGTTCTGGTCTCGCTCTGGGACAGTGATGACTAGGGCAATAGGCACAATCGCTCTGGTGTGCCCCCTCTCAAGTAACCAAGCTAAACCAGCCCCTTGGTTCTCTGATTCATTCTGATTTCGACACCACATTAACTGCAGTCTCTGGGAATATAGCTGAAGCACCTGCTTGTCCCGTATTGATGGATTCATTTCAATTGGTTCAGCTTGAGGATGTGAACAGGAGAGGTGAGGCCTACCACATGTATCCTAGACCCCTGCCCATCCTGGCTGATAAAAGAAGCCAGAGGGGGTTTGGCAGAGTGGGTTAAGATGATGATTAATTCCTCCTTGGTCACCTTGGTAGATGATCTATGCTGGGAACTAGACAAGCGGAGCTTGTCCCTGTTGGTTCTGCTGGACCTCTCAGCGGCCTTCAATACCGATGACCACGGTATCCTTCTGGGACACCTTGTAGGCATGGGATTTGGAGGTACTGTCTTGCAGTGGTTCCGGTCCTTCCTCGAGGAACGGTCCCAGGTGTTATTGGGTGACACCTGTTCGACCCCACAACCTTTGTCTTGTGGAGTCCCAAAAGGTTCAATACTGTCCCCGATGTTATTTAACATATACATGGAGCCGCTGGGGGAGATCATCTGGAGTTTCGGAATGCGGTGTTATCTCTATGCAGATGATATCCAAATCTGTCACTCCTTCCCACCTGTTACCACGGAGGATGTCCAGATCTTGAATTGGTGCTTGGCAGCTGTGTCGGACTAGGAGAGCTAACAAATTGAAATTTAATCCAGAGAAGACAGAGGTCCTACTGGTCAGTCGAAAGGCCAAACAGGACATAAGGTTACAGCCTGTGTTGAATGGGGTTACAAGCCCCCTGAAGACGCAGGTTCGCAGCTTGGGAGTGATCCTGGACTTCTCGTTGAGCCTGGAACTCCAGGTCTCAGCAGTGGCTGGGAGAGCTTTTGCACAATTAAAACTCGTGCACCAGCTGCGCCCGTACCTTGGGAAGCCTGATCTGGCTACAGTGGTCCATGCTTTGGTTACATTCCAAATAGATTACTGCAATGTGCTCTATGTGGGGCTGTCTTTGAAGACTGCTCGGAAACTTCAATTAGTCCAACGGGCGGTAGCTAGACTACTCACTGGAGCGGGTAACAGAGAGCATGCCACCCCTCTATTATGTCAGCTCCACTGGCTGCTGGTCCAATTCCAAGCACAATTCAAAGTGCTGGTTTTGACCTACAAAGCCCTATACGGTTCCGGCCCAGCTTACCTGTCCAAACGTATCTCCCTCTATATTCCACCTTGAAATTTAAGATCTTCTGGGGAGGCCCTGCTCCTGGCCCTGCCTTTGGCGCAAACACGCTTGGCAGGGATGAGGGACAGGGCCTTCTCGGTGGTGGCCCCCCACCTGTGGAACTCGCTCCCCAGCAACATCAGATCAACAACATCCCTCCTCACCTTCAGGAAGAAATTGAAAATGTGGTTATTGGACCAGGCCTTTGGGTAGCTGGCAGATAATTGACAATGGTAATAATGATAATGTTATGGAAAATGGACTATGGACAGGCTTCCAATTGTGTTGTGCTCACTGAATTTGTTTCTAAATAAGGCTATACAGCCAGTATTATTGCACTTTCCATTAATGTACTTTTTATTTTAAAACTAATTTTGTAATCAATTTACTGTGTTTTATATGTATTAGTGTATGTATTATTTATATGTAATGGCATCGAATTGTGCCGGATGTAAGCCGCCCTGAGTCCCCCCCCCCCCCAGGGGGTTAAGAAGGGCGAAATACAAATGTTTGAAATAAATTAATAAATTTCTACAACTTTCTATGTGGGTATTTTAACCACTTTAACTGCCAAAGCTCAATGCTATGGAATCATGGGGGTTGTAGTTTTGCAAAGCCTTCTCTGCCAAAAAGTCCTGGTGTCTCACCAAACTACAAATCCCAGGATCCCATAGTTTTAGGTCACTTCAATTAAAGTGGTTTCAAACTCCAATAATTGGACTACTTGGAGTAATCTCAATATGATGCTGCAGTTAATTCCTGTTTCTCTTTTAAACTTACAGAACATATAACAGATTATAGGGTAAGTACAACCCCTCCCCCCACAAAATAATTTATGTATACTGCACTATCTAAATTTTTTAAATTTTTCATCAGAACAACTTAAATTTCTTTTTAATAATGGTCAAGGATAATAGGCAGAGTATTTATTTAAGACAACTCTTTCAGACCTTGCTACAAACCTAAATGCCAAGTCTGCCCAGAAAACATAATCACAGAACTTAATCACATCACTCATGACACTAGAGTTACTTTCACTCGATCATCATCTAATGCAATACAAGTTGACCTCTGTTAACAATGCCCTTCAGCACTTTATACTGGGAAAATAAGACAGTATTTGCATCAAAGAATAAATGGATATAGATCAGACAGGGGAATGCAAAAACAAACAAAACAGTTGCAGAATACCTCTCTTTGTAGATATTCAAACTCAGTTATTAGAATGGCAGTCATTGAACAACAGGAACAATAATGAAAAAGGTAGAACCATTTAAAAAAAATTGTTGGAAGTGTCATTAAAAAGAAGAAACTTTTGCCATAGGTGATGGACATGTCCTAAAGCAAAAGTTAAATAAATCTGGATTATAATTCATAAAACTATTGAAAACATCTTAAAAATCAATGTACCACTATACCCAGAAGATTTTCTGTTGGGACTTACAAATTCAACTCTACCAAAAACAAAACAAAACAAAAAACCCCCCAAAAATCCCGATGCTCTTTTAATATATAGTAACTACAGCAAGGATTGGTTATGCTTACTTTCGGAAACAAGAAGAACTTCCCACTCAAGATCTATGGATTACAAAAGTGTTGAACATGGCAGAGATGGATAAAATGATGAGGTTTATACAATCAACAATATACTTCTAAACCAGAAGAAGAATGGCAACCCTTTATTGATTATTTAAAAGAAGAAAAAGAAAATGAAAATATTGTTTTTTATAGCATCAAGGGAAAATTAGTAGTGCAGAAATGTAGTAATTACAAGAAAAATATATAGAAGTTAGTGACAATGATATTCAAGGGAAAGTTAAGCTACCAGAGATATGTCTTATGACAAAAATAATAGGTTTTAAAAATTATGAACAAGACAGCAAAGACAGGGTAGGATGCGTTAGTTAGGGCTTTCTATTTGGGCAGTATCTTTCCTCCCACAATTGTCCACCAATGACCTGGACTGAATTTATTACCACATCTCTGTACTCACAGATTTTGCATTTCTGTTTCTGGTCACACACACCCAGCTGCTCTTTCATGGGTTTAAATAAATGTCTCTCAATATACACTTCACTCCATGTTTCTGAGGAAGCAGAACCAGACTATGAAAGTTTATGCTACAAATGTCTTTTTCTCAGTTGGTGTCAAAGCTACTTTCTGCTTTGTCCTAAGAAACATTTGCTTTCTTGACAGTTTCAGTGTTTTTAAAAATAATTCCAATGGTTTCTGAGTAGTCTGAAAATCCACACACAGTTTGACATTGTAATTTATATTATTTTTTGTATTAAAACAATATGCAATGGTTTAACTCATAGCACTGGCAGATCCCTCTGGGACGACGATTTCGTTCATTGAAAGTGTGGTTTGTGCTTCGAATGTATGGTGTGAAGGGTCTGCAAGAATACATCCGGAAGGTGAAAACTTTTTATTTCAACAACAAATTAGAAATGGGAAGAGTATTTATGAAACGGTTGAAGAAATAGATTTCTCTAGTGTCAAGAAATTCCGATGAGAAAAATCCTAGACAGATGACAAGCTTTACATTTTGTAAATTAATTATGAAAATTTTGTATGTGATTGTTTTGTGCTGAAGACAGCATTTTCTGTGAAATAATTATTTCTGCACAGAATTATTATTTGTATGTAGAGAAAATTCTGTTCCTTAGAAAATATTGGAATTAGAAACTTATTATCCATAACATTTCGGCCTGGCCATTTTACATATTAAAAATTCTGCACAGGGAGCATTTTCTGTGCAGTAAAATAATACTTTAAAGAAACGAATATCTGATTTTTTTCTGAATTTTGCAATGAAATTCTTCACCTAATAATGAGCACAAATATGTGTGTATTAGTGAGAATGGCATGCATACTAGCTTAGCCTGTTTGACAGGACCTTGTAAGTGCTGATTTATTATCAGCAAATCTTTGATTTTAATACCTATTTTATACTTTTATACCTATATACCTGGGTTGTATAAAAAAGTTTTAAGAAGCCCTGTTGTGGAGGCTGTCATTTTTTCTGTCAGTAGCTTATATTTTCTATGTATATACTGTCCTCTTGTGGTTACATCTAAACACTACATAAATTTTAGTTTTTGAGTCCCTCATCCCAAAACAGGGTGTTGTTTTCAATTGAAACCCCACAATTATTTTAAGGTGGATAATAAAGGCTATGTGTGACCAGTTTTGTTCACATCAAGCCATGTAGAAGCCTCTATGATACAAACATACAAGCATATGTTGACTAGATAGGTAGATAGGTAGATGAAATCTGGTGGGATGACATTTATTTTTGGAATATAACAACTGAAAGATAGGTAAATTTTTCTTATGGTCCAGATACCCTTATTACACTGTACCATACAAGTTGTACAGGTAATGAGATTAAGAACATCCAGTGAATAAAATTTGGGCACAGTAAAAGCTGCTTAAAATACATGTTGGCCAGAAACAAGGGTAAAAAGTAGGCTTGGGTAACCACGGAAAAATTGGTTCTAAACTCGTTTTGTTTTTAGGGGGCCCTTGCGTTTCGTTTTTTTTAATAATTCTGAAATTTTCCTTTTAAAAATTTCGAAATATACGAAATTTCGTATAATTACGAATCGATTCGTTAATGGCGGACGCGATTGCGCAATATGCTAAAAAAACCTCCAAATGGGACAGGGGGAACTTCTGAAGCTTCCCTCTCCCTCTGTTGTTGACTGTTGGTGTGATAAAACAAACAACAACTATAAAACTTGCACCAGACATGCGAAAATAATTACGAAATAATTACAAAATAATTACGAAATAATTACAAAATAATTACGAAATAAATTGAAAAAATTGTTTCGAATCTAATTTACTCCTCACACTATTCCTGCATGGCTCAATATTGGATCGTAAGCTAATTGGATCGTAAGCTAAATAAAGATGAGTGGCACTCATCTTTATTTGTCACACAGGCAGTTGTTAAATATGTATTTGGAGCCCAATGGATGATTGGCCTTTATTATTTACTTATGTAAATAATACGAATTTAAATACGAATTAATAACGAATTACGAAATTAACGAACGAAACCGCCCAAGCCTAGTAAAAAGCTACAAGAAGTGCCGATGTGTTTCAGCCTCAAGGTATGCAGGCAATAAGATTAAGAACAATGTATAGCTTGGGCACACAGATGGGTAAAATTAACAACAGTTAAAATTGGTTAAAACACAAGTTGGCTAAAAACATAAGTAAAAGACTTTCAGCCTGTGTGTAAAATTGGGAAATGTCTAATTTTGGCTGCCTCAGAAAGAAACTTTGCAACCACCAAGGTCACGTGGGGAAAGTTGTCACTAAGTAGAAACCTCACATAATTTTTTTTCTGAACTTGCTTGTAAATTCCTTAGTAGGGGATTGATTATGTCTGCTCGAACCTGTTCATAGAAACTGCATGGCAGTAGAATGTGGTAGATGCACTCTACTTCCTGTTTGTTACATGGGCAGAGTCTTTCATTGTATGGAGTACCTGCAAATCTCCCACGCAGCAATTCGATGGGAGCACATTGCACCTCCCTTTGGAAAATAGGAAGCAGTATTTGGCTACTGTCAAGTTCTTTAGATAGTTTGCTACATGAAAAAGCCCAACATAATGTAAGGACAGGGCACGAAGAGAGCAGGATACATGGGAGCGACAGTGCAGCTCACAGAAGGCAATGTCCCACAGTCTCTGTTTGATTGATTTAAGAGCCATGTCAAAACCCAGATGTGTTAGGAGGGATGCGGAAAGGCCAATGGAGGCAGCTTTCTTAGAAATGGTCTTAGACCAACTGCTTATATACCTATCCTGAGCTAAGTGGTGCATCAAGCCAGGCCCTAAACTAAAAACTCTGATCTTGATCCAATATTTAAGTGCCCACCACCAGGGTCTTATTGACAGGGGTGCTTCACCGGATTCAAGTAGTAAGACACAGGATGGTACACACCTGGGGAGCTGGAAAAGGGCCCTCAAGAACTGTTGGTCTATTTTTGATGTTAGGCCCCCAATCCAGATGCTGGAAGTGTATAGCAACTGGGAAGCTATCTTGGCACTAAAGGCTCTAGTTGCCAAAGGTATGAACTGCCAGCCACCCTTTAGTAGCAGTAAAACGCAGAATGTCAGAACTGCTTACTTGAGCCTTGAGGGTAATGGAAGCAATATGAGTAAACCAGAATGGTCGGTGGTGGGAAAAAAAGCCCCAGATATTGGAAACTTCTGACCTGTTCTAGGGTATGTCCATCAAGAGACCAGCGGCAGGGCAAAAATCTTTTTTTCAAATACTAGAACTTTGGATTTCACATAGTTGATTTTTAGGTCGTTCTGGGAAGAGTAGTTCAGGAATTTCCTGGTTCTTCTGGTTGAAAGATGTAAGCCGTTCAAAAAAGAATAGATGTGGCAGGAAAAAGTTAGGAAATAGCATTATGAGGCAAAGATCCAAGAGAGAGCATTTGGGTAAAAGCGAATGAACAAAACAACAACATTTTTGTAGAGATCTTCTACAGGCCACCAAACCAAACAGAGATGACAAATAATGCTTTACAAAAATAAATCACAGAAATCTTAAGGAATTAGTAGTAGGGCTGGGTAACAATGGAAAAAATTGTTTCTAAACTCGTTTCGTTTTTAGGGGGTCCATTGCGTTTTGTTTTTAAAAAGAATTCTGAATTTTTCTTTAAAAAAATTAGTTATTTACGAAATTTTGTAAATTTTGAATTGATTCGTTAATGGCGGACGCGATTGCGCAATACGCTAAAAAACCTCCAAATGGGACAGGGGGAACTTCTGAAGCTTCCCTCTCCCTCTGTTGTTGACTGTTGGTGTGATAATTTATTTTTTATCACTGATAAAACAAACAACAACTATAAAACTTGCACCAGACATACGGAAATAATAACGAAACAATTTCGAAACTATTTTGAAACGATTCGAACCAATTACGAAACAATTACGAAATAAATTGAAAAATTCGTTTCGATTTTTAGTTGCTCCTGCACGGCTCAATATCGGATCGTAAGCTAATTTAAATACGAATCAATAACGAATTACGAAATTAACGAATGAAACCGCCCAGCCCTAATTAGTAGTCATGAGAGGAGGAGGATTTTTCTAAATTTGAATGACTGATTTTTTCCCCAATTTATTGATACGCCACTAAGAAGCTGGATAGCTATCTGCCAGGAGTGCTTGGATTAGGTGTTCCTGCATGGCAGGGGGTTGGACTGGATCCCCTTGTGGCCTCTTCCAATTCTATAATTCTGTGATTCTTCCACCAGTTCTAGAGTTCTACATTAACTATCTATCTGTTAAAGTTGCTTTATTGATACATATACTTAACTTTTAGTGTTTTAGGACTAACTGGCATTTTTAAATAGTTCTAAAATTTGATTTTATCTTCTCATGAGGAACAATAACATAACTGTTTATTTTTAGCATATTAAGCTGGCACATGAATTTAAGGACCTAGTGCTTCAGGATGACCGATTTGAGATTTGTGCTGATGTCATAATGGGTCTGGTGTGCTTCCGACTTAAGGTAAACATTTAGTTGTTTCAAATGCTTACATCTTTTGTTGTACATAATCACCTTTTTTTTTTTTACTCTGAGCAACATTAACAGTGCTTAAATACCCTAAAAACACTAGGTCTTGGAAGCTAAGCAGGGTGAGCTTTGGTTAGGCCTTTGATGAGAGGTTGTCAATAAATCAGGTATATCATCATCATCACTGCTATTTTATTCATTTGTATCACACTTTGTTTTCAATAGTGAGCAGTTTAAAACACATTTAACACAGACCATGAACTCATAATATAAAAAAGGGAGTAAATGTAAATATGATCACTAAACTAACCACAATGATAAAATAAAATCCACCGAGCATCCCCATAGAAATTAAAGTTATGTAAAAATAGATTTGCACTATTAAGCCTAGTTGACCAACAACCAGAAGAACTCTGGAATGAAGCCAGAGACATGAATAGAAAGTAATACAAAATGAGGCTGTTTGCAGCTAAAATGAAAGAGAAGCCTCAGTGGAAGACAGATGAAACTCTTCAAGCAGTTAAGTACAGAAAAGAAGCAACAGAAAAGGGGCAACCATACAGTGACTTGTAATCAGGAAGAACTACTGTAAAATTAATGCAAAGAAATAGAGGATGACAACAGAAAACGAAGAACAAGTGATCTTGTCCACAAGATCCAAAACATCAAAGGCAAATTTAAATTAAAAATCCAGATACTCTACAACCAGCATATTAAATGACCAAGTCCAAATTAAAAAGCAATGGAAACAATACATTGAAGAACGATGTAACACAGATGAAAGGAGGACAGATTTATTCAAAGACAAACCATTTGAAGATGAACCTACAGTTTTAGAAAGTGAAATAGAAGCTACACTCAGAATACTTGGGAGACAGTAGAAACTACACTCAAGGCACTTTGGAGAAATGGTTTAACTACAGAAACTGAATATAACTAAAATCTGTCAATAGATATGACAAACAAAACAATGGATCACAGATTGCAAATATCCAATATACACTCCAGTTCCCCAGAATAGGTAGGCCACTGATTACAGTAACAGGACCTGTTCTGGTACGGCTGTACCAGGAGCTCCAACTTTATTTGCTTTGTATTAAATGTTTGCTTGCAATCCTAGGCTTGGGATTTTGCAGCAGGGTGGCTTCCTGTTAAAGTTTGCAGTTATAGGGCAAGCCACCTGTCCATCATCATTTAGCTTTGGTTCTGCCCCTTATTCTGGGCTCTGGGAAGAGAGAGGAACCATTTTGATTGAAAGACAGAACAGCTTTGTCTTCTCCAGCCTGAGAGAGCCAGGGGTCGTGTCTCTGTCAGTAGCCCTGGCCTGTGTTCGTAGCTCTTAAAAAGAAATATTAGAAAATCATAGATCACATTTGGATTAAATCCTTTTGTAAATTAATGTGTGCTGTAATATAAGAGATCATGTATTGACAAAAATCAAGGAGTGTTAAAAGAGGAAAATGCAGATATAATGTTTTAGTAATTTGGAATACAATGTTTTTAATGATTGTTTGTAATATTGATGTTGGAAACCGGCCTGAGTCCCTCGATGGAGGTGAGAAGACCGGTATACAAAACTGCTAAATAAATAAATAAATAAATTTTGGTCAGTCACTTAAAAGGAAGCCAGTCTATAGGACACAAATCAGTTTGTCCTGTAGGAAAGGCTTCATTCCTCAAGACCATCTGGGGATCATCCGGGGACCATCTGGTGATCATCTGGGGATCATTCAGGGAAACAGAAGGAAAGATCCCAAAGGCTCTGGCTCAGAGCTCACAGCCTCTCAGCCTCACAGCACCAGAGGGGAAAACAGCCCTGAAGTTCCCACAGGACAGCATTACAGAACCACGGAATTCCAGCTGAAATATCTTCTAGCTTCTTCTGGTAGGTTTACTCAATATCCAGACGCATGTGGGATCGGTAGTAATACTCAGACCAGTGAGGCCTAGATGATGGATGGCCTGGGAGAGATTATAAAGCGTTCTTCCTCATGCTGAGAGAGTACAGTTAATCCAAGTCGGTGCAAGTCTCTTAAAGACTAGAATAAGAAAGCCTTGAAGTGTTGTTTGAAGATTTGTTCCTTAATAAAGACTTTGTTGTACCATTAAAGACTCTAAAGACCATTACTTTAAGAAATCCCTAACAATCTCTCTTCGGGCACCCCGGCTTCCCACTAGGTTTAAAGTATACGTCCTATAGAATAAAGACAATTTGTTCAGACCCAGTGCGCGACAGAACAGGACCATAACATCAGTCTCTTACGCAAACAAAATGATTCTCTAAATTCTTCAAGAAAGACTTTTACTATATATGATTGATGTGGTAAACAATTTCAGGATGTAGAAAAACTCTTGACAACATATGATGTGTACTCATGGTAAGAGGCTACCATCAGGTCAGTTGGCAACATGTCCAGCCAAGGCTGCATTTTATGACCCTTTCTGCTTAACATTTATGTTGAGCATAGAATAAATAAAGCAGGATTAGATTTGAGAAATAGAAAATTGGAGGAAGGAATATCAATTATTTAAGATATGCAGATGATATACTGCTAGCAGAAAATAGCAAAGATGTAGCATGATTACTGAATAAAGTCAAAGAAGAAAGTGTAAAGGCATGTGTTTACAGTTGAACATTAAGGAAAAAATAATGACCACATATCATTTAGATAACTTTAAAGTGGACCATGAAGACATGGAAATGGTTAAAGATTTTCCATACCCTGGCTCAGTCAAAATATATTGTGTAATTCAGAGAAGGTGGAGGGAGAAGAAACATATTTTAAATTTGAAAAGTCGCATTGATTTTTACAAGAACTTTTACTAAATTAACAAAGAGAAAATCAACTATATAAAAGTAGCGTGAATTTGTTGATATACGAGTTAACAAGATGAATTCAATACATTAGGGGAAATGGATAAACTGTTCAGTTTGTTAAAGGATACATCATTAACAATATTTTTGAAGGTCTGAAAACCTTTAACTGACTTCTTGGGAAAAAGGGTGATTTGATAACTGTTAGTTATATTTTCTGAGATTCATTAAATAGATGATGAATATTTCATAGATAAAAGAGGTAGATTTTTAAGTGTTAAAGTACATAACTGCAAAAAGGATATATTTTGTTTTGTTTCAACAGTTTTAGCTTTTGTATGGTAAGTTTTGTGTTGTTTTCTTTTGTAGTTTTTAAAGTTTTTGTTATATGTCTTCAAATATTTATTTTATATAAATATTATTGAATAAAAAATGATTCGAAAAAAAGTGATCCTGGAGAAAATTTCACTAAGGACCTCATCACATGAGGCGATTAAAGCATCCTGGGATGTTTTCGGGACACTTCTTCCTCAGAACCTCACACCAGTCATCACACAACATTTCTCCACCCCCGACTGGGGTAAGAGTGTCACCACACGCTTTCCCCACAACACGAGAGGCTTCCTGTGTTGTGTTGACTCCAATGGAGCCAGCACGCTTCTGCCTTGTTTGGGCGACACTTCTCCTGTATGATGGGGAGGGTATTGTCATGCTGGAGTAGTGCGCAGGGTGCTGAAATTGTCCCCATGCAGGGCCGTAGCCAGAAAATTTTTTTGGGAGGGGTTGAAATTTTCGGGGGGGTTGAAAATTTCGCAGGGGGAGGGTTGAAACCTGCCTCCTAGCTCACGCTGAAGCAAAGAGCACAGCAGGGGGCAGAGCAGCCTTCAATAGCCTGCAACTCCACCCCTATCAACCACCTCCACCAAGTCTGGCCTCCTTAATGAGAGCATTCAACACCCCCTGTTCTGTCGCGCACTGGGCCTATAACAGCTGTCTTTTCTATAGGACGTGTACTTTAAGCCCAGCGGGAAGCCAGGGGCGCCTCAACGAGAGGTTCTCAGGGATTTTTCTGAAGTGATGGTCTTTAGATTCTTTAATGATACAACAAAGTCTTTATTATGGAACAAACAACAAATCTTCAATGGTTCAAACAACACTTCAAGGCTTTCTTAGTCTAGTCCTCAATGGACTGGTACCTGACTTTGATTAACTGAACCTTCTCTGTAGAAAAAAAACCCTTTTTAACCTCTCCCAGGCTGCTTTCTATCTATGCCTCATCGGTGTGGGACCTACTACCGAATCCAAGTGCGTCTGGGTATCAAGTAGACCTACCAGCTGAGGCTTGAAGATATTTCAGCTGGAGTTCAGTGGATCTGTAATGCTGTCCTCCCTCCGAGAACTCTTTGAGAACTTCAGGGCTGTTTCCCTCTGATGCTGTGAGGCTGAGAGGCTGTGAGCTCTCAGCCAGAGCTTTTTGGGACCTTTTTCCTGGAATCTCCATTTCTGTATCCCCGGATGTTACTTTTCCCTGGATGCTCTTAAGAAAGGAAGCTTTTCTACGGGACGAGCTGGTCTATGTCCTATAGCTTAGCCTCCTTGTGTGAGACTGCCCCAAATGGCTCCTTTCCCTCCCAGAAGCCTGAACAGGGGGTGGAACCAAAGCTTAATTATGATGGACAGGAGGCCTGTCCCATGACTGCAAAACAGATAACAGAAAGAAAATAAAGTTGGAGCTCCTGGTACAGCCGTACCAGCACACACACACCCCCAACTTGGTTGCTTCACTACATTGGCTATTGCTGCAAATAATGGCAGTGTGAATAAATTATCAATATTAGCCTGATATAGTGCTTGCAGTTCTGGAGGGACTCTTAATTTTTTGCATCTCATAGACTTAGCATGAGGATTTGGTTAACCAGTTAAAATTCATGAGTAAACCAGGTTTTTTTAAAAATCTGAAACATTTCGGGGGTGGGGGTGGGGTTTGAACCCCTACAGGCCTGCCCCCGTGCCTGCTGTTTTGCAAAGCCTGCTGGCGAAATGGCATGGGAGGGGCTCCCCCGTGTGATAAGGGTCGCAGGAAATTCAATAATGCTTCGTAAGTTGACAACAGTAGGAAAAGAGGAAAACTGCATTACAGATTCAATCAAGGAAGCCTCTGGAGTTTACAAGACCTGAGTAAGGCTATTGATGATAAAATGACTTGGAGGTCCCCCACTCATAGGGCTGCTGTAAGTCAAAATGAACATCATGGCAGTTAACAAACACAACAGCAAGGCCACAAGACCACAGTGTAAGCATGTTGTATATAACACAGCATAAACAAATAATTCATTTAATTTAGAAAGTTTAGCCAAAAAATCCTTTGAGAGAACTTGGAGAGGAAATAGATCTTAGATGGACCAGTGATTTGATCCAATGTGACAATCCTTATGTTGCTCTGCTCCATTTCACTATAAGTGCTTCATCACGCTGCACAGAGAGCAGTGACAAACAGCTGTTACTGGATCGGAAAAGGTAAATCTTACAGGAATAAATATTTATCATGAAGATACTCAAGATTATAAATGTGATACTCAAGATTATTATAACTGACGCAATATCTGAAATCCAAGCAAATGATGGGAAGTAGTAAAATGGGCTGGTCTCCAATTAGGAAATATTTAGAAGGCAAATAAGATGGATATGGTGAAGGGGGAAAAAATACAAGAAGATAGAAGACAGAAGACAAACATAGCAGAAGACAACACTAATACTAACAAAGCTACAGGGGACATAATAAGTACGTAAGATACTGACACACTTCACGTCCCACCTTCCAAACCCAAGCACAACCCCGACCCCCCCCCCATTTTCCTTTAGAATAGCCCTATCCTATCCTATTGATATCCTAAAGCTTGTGCGCCAAGTCTGACTTGGCCACGGTAGTCCACGCTCTGGTTACATCCCGTTTAGACTACTGCAACGCTCTCTACGTGGGGTTGCCTTTGAAGACAGCTCGGAAGCTCCAACTAGTCCAACGCTCGGCAGCCATGATTTTAACAGGAGCGGAGCGCAGGGAGCATACAACCCCCCTGCTGCGCCAACTCCACTGGCTACCGATTTGCTACCGGGCTCAATTCAAGGTGCTGGCGTTGGCCTTTAAAGCCCTAAACGGTTCCGGCCCAAGCTACCTATCTGACCGCATCTCTGCCTATGAACCCACCAGGAGTTTGAGATCTTCCGGGGAGACCCTGCTCTCGATCCCGCCTGCTTCTCAAGCTTGGCTGGCGGGGACGAGAGATAGGGCCTTCTCGGTGGTGGCTCCTCGGCTGTGGAACGCCCTTCCTACCGACATTAGACTAGCACCATCTCTAATGGTATTCCGCAAAAAAGTGAAGACCTGGCTGTTTGAGCAGGCGTTCGAATAATTAGTGCAATGATCGGTTAATGAACACTGGAATGGATCAATGGATGATGAATTTGGATCATGTTTTGACGATGAGACGATAGTGAATGGGTATTGTAGTAACTGTTTATTAATTGTGTAATGTGTTAGGTTGTTAACTGTTTTTATACTGTAGCACTGAATTTTTGCTGTTCGTATTTGTTGTGAACCGCTGTGAGTCGCCTTCGGGCTGAGAACAGCGGTATATAAGTAAGGTAAATAAATAAATAAATAAATAAATAAATAAATTAGACAAGCCTTTGAACTGCCCCTTTTATTCCCTTCCATCCTAGTTGATAGGCACCCCCTCCCTTTATTGTGTCCAACCCCTATCCCCCCGATCTTTGATTTTAAGGTATAACAAATATATCAATGATCAAAATCTTGTAGATGTATTGTCTCTAGAAAACTTCAATAAAAAATTACTAAAAAAAAAAAAGATTATAAATGTGCAGAAATTGCTAGCAAATGTGTCAGAGCTCTTATTAAACAGGAACAATACAGTCCTGAAGTTAACTAAAACCTAATTTAAAACGGTTACCATTTCCAACCCATCCTGGTAGTATTTTAGATACATGCATTGTATAACACATAGTGAGTTTACCTATGGGGTAGGGAAAAGACCTCAAAGGGCTGCCAGAAGAATTTCACTCTGGAGAACCTTGGCATAGTATTAAGAGTTGTTAGGAAAATAGGATAGATCCATTTTTCTTGTAAGCAAAAGATTTGAAAACCACTGGTTCGTTGGATGATGTTGTATTCCTTCAAGCAATTTCTGACTTAGTAGACTTTAAAGAAAACCTATCCCAGGGTTTTCTTTGAGAGATTTGTTCAAACCATTAGGTCAATCTCCACAGGCCCCACAGCTGCAAAGATTAGGACCTTATTGAAAGCTCTAGACCAGTGGTTCTCAACCTTCCTAAAGCTATGGCCCCTTTATGCAGTTCCTCATGTTATGGTGACCCCCAACCATAACATTATTTTGGTTGCTACTGTTATGAATCGTAATGTAAATATCTGATATGCAGGATGTATTTTCATTCAATGGACCAAATTTGGCGCAAATACCCAATATGCCCATATTAGAATACTGGTGGGGTTGGGGTGGTGATTGATTTTGTCACCTGGGAGTTGTAGTTGCTGGGATTTATAGTTCACCTACAATCAAAGAGCACCCTGAACTCCACCAGTGATGGAACTGAACCAAACTTGAGTAATATCAAAAAGAAAAATGGGTTCCCCTGAAACTGTGGAGACCAAAAGGTCTCCACTGAACCAAACTTGGCACACAGAAACACCCATGACCAACAAAAAATACTGGAAGTGTCTGGTGGGCATTGACCTTGAGTTTGGGAGTTGTAGTTCACCTACATCCAGAGAGCACTGTGGACTCAAACAATGATGGATCTGGACCAAACTTGGCACGAATACGCAATATGACCAAATGTGAACACTGGTGGAGTCTGGGGAAAATAGACCTTGACATTGTAGTTGCTGGGATTTATAGTTCACCTATAATCAAAGAGCATTCTGAACCCCACCAATGATAGAATTGGGCCAAACTTCCCACACAGAACCTCCATGACCAACAGGAAATAGTATTTTCTGATGGTCTTTGGTGACCCTTTTGATACCCCCTCGCACGCCCCCCCCCCAGGGGTCCTGACCCCCGGGTTGAGAAACGCTGATCTAGACCTTTGAAGGTGTGTGTTTTTTTTTACCCAAAGCAATCCTAGGTTAAAACAGATTAGCCTGAGGCATCATGTGGATGCCTCAGGCTAATCCGGAAGCAATCATGGGCTTTAGACCTGTTTAGGAGGGCTGTCAATATAATGTAAAGCTCCTCCATTTAATTTTTTAATTTAAATTTTATTACGCTTCTATTCATTTTCTTACAAAAAACCCATCTCTACAATTTATATAGTTATTTATTCTCCTTTCCCACATTGTGCTATCCATTGTGCTCCCTATCTCCGGAGTCCTTCTTTTCTTTAAGTTCCCATCAGAACCTCATTTTTTCTGGTGAGGTTGGTTCCCATCTTCTTTCTTCAACAATTTTTTCCATATACTTTCAAAATCATTCTTCTTCTTTAGTCCTCTTTTAACCTATAAATTACATGTTAATTTATCATTTATTGCTAATTTCCAAATTTCCTTATACCATTCTTCTATCTTAAATTCCACCTCTCCTTTCCATTTTTTTGCTATTTGTAGCCTTGCAGCCATTAGCAACATCGTTATCAAATAAAAAAATGTGTCTTTATTTACCCATATATTTACTAGGCTTGGGCGGTTTCGTTCGTTAATTTCGTAATTCGTTATTAATTCGTATTTAAATTAGCTTACGATCCAATATTGAGCCATGCAGGACTACTGTGAGGAGTAATTAAAAATCGAAACAATTTTTCCAATTTATTTCGTATTGTTTCGTAATTGTTTCGTAATTGGTTCAAAATTGTTTCGAAATTGTTTCGTAATTGTTTCGTAATTATTTCCGTATGTCTGGTGCAAGTTTTATAGTTGTTGTTTGTTTTATCAGTGATAAAAAATAAATTATCACACCAACAGTCAACAACAGAGGGAGAGGGAAGCTTCAGAAGTTCCCCCTGTCCCATTTGGAGGGTTTTTTAGCGTAATGCGCAATCGCGTCCGCCAAACGAATCGATTCGTAATTTTACGAAATTTCATATATTTCGAACTTTTTTAAAGGAAAATTTCGGAATTCTTTAAAAAAAAAAAAAACGAAACGCAAGGGCCCCCCTAAAAACGAAACGAGTTTAGAACCAAATTTTTCCGTAGTTACCCAAGCCTAATAAATACATCCAATAAATAAATAAATAAATAAATAAAGGCAGGGTATAAATACAGTAAAAAATAATTTTTTCTTCATAATACTTTCTATCTCTACTATAACTTTCCCCCAAATCCTCTGTACAAACTTACAATGCCACCACATGTGAATATACGTTCCCCTTTCTGGGCAACCCCTCCAACTTTTTTCTGAACAACTCTTGTCCATATGGTGTATGTTTCCATACCATATTGTAGTAGTTTTCTTTTATTCTAATAGCTAAATTCTTGAGGTGTCTTGCTTTCCATAATTTTTCCAATTTTTGTTCCCAATTCTTCGTCCATAGTTCTCTTGTTTGTAGCCCTTTTCTTCCCTCTTTAATCTCTATTAATATTTTCTATATCACACTTGTTATCCCTCTTTGATACTCATTTTTTTTTGCTTTAGTCTGCTTTTTTAATATTATACTTTCAAATTTTGTTGGTTCTCTATCCCCTAAGCTCTTTCCTTTCCAATTATTATTATTATTATTCCCTAAAGACTGTCTTTAGTATAATTGCTAGAACTACTTGGAGGATGTTAGTGGTCATTACTTTTTTTTTGTCATTCTAGGGTTCTAACAGACTTAACGAAGCACTTCTTAAAAGCATAAACAACGCACGACGGATTCATCTTGTCCCATGCCACCTGAGAGAGAAATTTGTGCTACGCTTTGCGATTTGTGCCCGCACAGTGGAGTCTGCCCATGTCCAGTTTGCCTGGAAACACATTGTGGATTTAGCAAATGAACTTTTGAATGGGCAGAAAGAGTAGGAGTAGTGGAAGAAGAAAATGATTTGATTCAGTTGAAGATTTAAAGAATGATAAGAGACAAATTGTGGTAATATTATATGTTCTTCTATATCCTAACACTTACAAAATGACCAGTATCAATGGTGTGCTGTAATCAAGACCAAGAATTATATAGATTGGAACCCAATAACTGCTTTGCTGAATCAGGGCTCGATAACCCTGTCATGTGCTTTCTAAGACCCCTTCCAAACAGCCATATAATCAAGAATATCAAGATAGAAATATCTGCTTTGAACTGGGATTTCTGAGTCCACACTGCCATATATTCCAGTTCAAAGCCGAAAATGTGAGATTTTATTCCACTATGTGGAAGGGGCCTAACAGTAGTCACCTAAATGTTTCAGGTAGGTCCTAAATAAGCCATAAAAACGATTGTTTCTCTAGCACTTGGTATGTAAAGGTATAGTGGTCCAAACTGGGCTATACCATTTAACAATGCCCTTCTGGACCAACTTACCTGCCTGAACGCATCTTCCCTTATGATCTTTAAACAGAGGTAGTACTTAAGCTGTGGCTGGATCTACACTGCCATACAATCAAAATCAGGGGTCCGCAAACTACGGCCCGCGGGCCACTTCCGGCCCTCCAAGGTCAATTATCCGGCCCGCAGAGGAGGAGCGCCCCCCCCCACACACAGTGCCCCTCCCTTGGCTGGCTCACGCTATCCATCAGGCCCGATGGGCAATGCGAGCCAGCCAAGGGCAGCTGCTCCATGTGGCCTACTCACGCGTAAAGCACCTCGCGAGGTGCTTTACGCGCGAGTTGTCCATGCGGTGCTGCTCCTCCCTTGGCAGGCTCACGCTATCCGTCAGGCCCGATGGGCAGCGTGAGCCAGCCAAGGGAGGCTGCCCCGGCGCTCCATGCAGTCATGCCGGCCACATGACCTTGGAGGTGTCTACGGACAACGCCGGCTCTTCGACTTAGAAATGCAGATGAGCACCACACCCCAGAGTCAGACACGACTGGACTTCATGTCAGAGGAAAATCTTTAACTAGGAAAATTGTGGAAGATCCAGGGTGGGAGAAAGAACTCTTGTCTGTTGGAGGTAGGTATGAATGTTTCAATTGGCCACCTTGATTACCATTTCATAGCCTGACAGGTTTTAGGGAGAATCCTTTGTTGAGAGGTGATTAGCTGGCCCTGATTGTTTCTTGTCTGGAGTTCCCCTGTGTTTGAGTGCTGTTCTTTATTTACAGTTATAATTTTAGAGTTTTTAATACTGGTAGCCAGATTTTGTTCAGACTAGAAATAGGAAGATTTCCCATTCTCTGCTCCTGGAATTACTGCCTAAAGAGGGCTAGAAAGAACCCCCTCTAAGGGCCCTTCCACACCGCAAAATAAGATATGTGCAATGTGCATAGGAATTTTTTATTGATTTTTTTAAAAAAAAAAAACAACCTATAGCCTGGCCCTCCAATGGTCTGAGGGACAGTGAACTGGCCCCCGGTTTTAAAAGTTTGAGGACCCCTGATCTAAATTATCAAAACAGGTATTCCAGATTATCTGCTTTGAACTTGATTATATGAAACCCCTTCTACACTGCCCTATATCCCAGGATCTGATCCCAGATTATCTCTTTATCCCAAATTATATGGCACCGGGGACTCATATAATCCAGTTCAAAGAAGATAATCTAGGATCAGATCCTGAGATATAGGGCAGTGTAAATCCGTCCTATGTATTACTAAATGGCAAAGGGTTAGACTAGATGGTCCAACTTTCTGATTCTTTGATTATATCCCCACATGGAATTTATTCCCAGTTGGGCATCAATCTCCAAATCTTATTGGGTGGTGTTAAAAGGAAGTTGCTGAAGGTATAGCACAGGTATTATATAAGAAAGGTAATAATTTCTATGTTTCCAATATTTATGTAATAATGAGAGTTTAGCAGTATATGAATCAATACATTTTGAGATACATGATAATTGTGCTGTTCTAAAGTGTATCATCTTGGGCTGCATTAAAACTGGTATAGCAAAACTGCTGTTTTCTGTTCCATTCTTTCCTCGAGTCTTCTGTTAAGGATTTTGCTATTTTTATTGAATAGCTAGTTGCTAGGCTGAAGCAGGATTTTTAAAAACCTTGTAGAAAATTCATGTACATTATGCCACTACATAATGGGCGGGGGGGGGGGGGGATCAAATACCGTTTTCCGATGTTTCTCACCCATGATTTCTTTTTAAAACATTGGACTTGGTTCAATTAAACAATCTTTAGCTGTAAGATTCATGCTCCATCTATACTGCCATACACTCCAGTTTCCGAATACAGATGATCTGCTTTAAACTGGATTATATGCAGTGTTGATTCATATTATCCAGTTCAAAGCAGGTGATCTACATTCAGAAACTGGGTCATATGGTAGTGTTAGCGGTCAACCCTCCTGTTTAAGGATCTCCACTGGCTGCCGTTCATTTTCCGGTCCCAATTCAAGGTGCAGGTTCTTACCTACAAAGCCCTGACCCGCCTACCTGCGTGACCGCATTTCTGTGTATGAACCTACACGATCTCTTCGATCATCTGGAGAGGCCTTGCTCTCGCTCTCACCTCTCTCGCAGGCGCAATTGGTGGGGACGAAGGAGAGGGCTTTCTCGGTGGTGGCCCCTCGACTTTGGAACTCACTTCCCAGGGATATTAGACATGCCCCAAGGAGGAGCTTGAAAACAGGGTTGTTCCAGTGTGCCTTCCCAGAATAAGAACTCTCAGCAATATGCCCTCATAATGCACTTTAATACTGGCTTAGGATGGATTGTGTTCCCTCGTTTCTCTCTGAAAAAATCCTATCCCAGTTATATTTTACCTGCTCACGTCAGCATATTTTCAATTTTTAATCTATTACATTTGGCCCAGCCGTTTTTAAAAACTGTTTATACATCATTATTGATTGATGTTTTTTGTTATGTGATTTATATGATTTGTATTTTATTGACTGTTTTATTAATGTATGTTATTGATATTTTGTTTGATGTATTTTGGGCTTGACCTTGTGTAAGCCGCACTGAGTCCCTTAGGGAGATGGTAGCGGGGTCCAAATAAAGATGATGATGATGATGATGATGATGATGATGATGATTATTATATGGTGCCCAATAAGTTTTTACACAAGGGAATAATATTTTACTTTCAAAATAATAGCATGCAATATCATAAGAGCATCATGTACACAGGCCTGTAGCGAGGGGGGGGGGGTAGAGGTGCAATCCCCCCCCCCGAAATGTTTCAGATTTTTTAAAATAACTGGTTTACTCATGAATTTTAACTGGTTAACCAAATACCCATGCTAAGTCACTGTTTTATGTTTTTATGTTGAATGTTTTTATATTGTGTAAATGCTATTTTATTTATTTATTTATTTATTTATTTATTTATTTAGAAGTTTTGTATACCGGTCTTCTCACCTCGAATGAGGGACTCGGGCCAGTTCACAATATGTGTTCAAATACAATAATATACAAAAACAACACAGTGCATCATCATTACAGATTAAAATACAATAAAAACATAATCATCACATTACCCAAGCCAAGTCGTCAATACAGTCACAGTCATAGTTTGTCATCCTCCTTCCATGTGGACAAAAGTTATAGAATCAGTCCTCAAATGCCACATTCCAAAGCCAGGTCTTTGTTAGTTTCCTGAAGGTCAGGAGGGAGGGAGCAGATCTGATCTCTAGTGGGAGGGAGTTCCAAAGCTGAGGAGCCACCACCGAGAAGGCCCTGTCCCTCGTCCCCACCAAACGCGATTGCGAAGGTGGTGGGACCAAGAGCAGGGCCCCTCTGGAAGATCTTAATAACCTTGATGGTTCATAGGAGGGAATCTGTTCGGACAGGTAATCTATTGTAAGTCGCTCGGAGCACCTTGGTGGAGAGCGAGTAATTAAAAAATAAAGTGAAGTGAACTGAAGATGCAAAAATTTAAGAGTCCCTCCAGAACTGCAAGCACTATCTCAAGTAAATATTGACAATTTATTCACACTGTCATTACTTGCAGCAATAGCCAATGTAGTGAAACAACCAAGTTTGGGGGGGGGGAGTGTTGAATGCTCTCATTAAGGAGGCCAGACTTGGTGGAGGTGGTTGACAGGGGCGGAGCTGCAGGCTATTAAAGGCTGCTCTGCCCCCTGCTGTTCTCTTTGCTTCAGCGTGAGCTAGGAGGCAGGTTTCAACCCCCTCCCCCGTGAAATTTTCAAACCCCCCCCCCCCAAATTTCAACCCCTCCCGAAATGTTTTTCTGGCTACGGCCCTGCATGTACACAATCAGTCTCATATGTTTCAGAAGCAAAGCAGCCAAGAACTTTGCTCATTTTTTCATGGTTCTGCACTAGTTATGCCTCATATTACTTGTTCTGGACACCTCATTTTGGGATGAACATAAAGACGTTGGAGGAGATCCAGAGAAAGGTAACAAGGATGAAAAGTATGGAGAAAAACCTATGAGGATAGCTTGAGGATGTTGAGCATGGTGAAGAGAAAACTGATGGATAACATGGTTGCACACTTCAAGTACTAAAAAAGGCTGCCACAGAGCGCAGGGGGTTGGTTTGTCCTCTACTGCCCCAGAGAGAGGAGGCCTAGGTTTAATATTTTAAAGTTACAACTGGCTACGTTTCAGTTAAATGTTAAGAGTTGGAATCTCTTTCTTCAGACATCTTCAAAAAGAGACCAGGCAGCTTCCAGCTATAGATGTTCTAGGTGCTTCGCCTACAAAAAGTAGGTTGAACTTGACTGCCTATGGGGTCCCTTCCAGCTGTTGTTGTTATTTATTTATTATTATTTACAGTATTTATATTCCGCCCTTCTCACCCCGCAGGGGACTCAGGGCGGATTACAATGATGGACAGGTGACTTGCCTATGACTTGCTAGTGTGCTCAGTTGCGGGGGTCCCATATCTGTCACCTTGGAAGTCGACTTGGCCATCGGTATTCACACTTCATGTTATACACTCCATATAGTATTTAGCTGCAGCGTGGGGCTCTACGTGTGAGTTATCTTTGAATAGCTGTTGCATGGTAGGCTGCGGCAACTGGTGCAAGTCAGGTGTGCTTAAAAAGCACTATAGAGGCGGTTGGCTCAGAGCTTTTCAACAGTCCCCCGTTATATCCCATTTTTCAACAAAAAAACTGTTGTGTTACTCTCACTGGCGGTCCATGTCTGGCTACTCGGAGTGTCAATTCAAAGTGCTGGGCTTTAAAGCCCTATAAAACCGAGATAAG